CACCCAAGATGGATGGGTCATGGTGGAGAGTTCTAACAGAATGTGGTCCACTGGAGAAGGGAATGGCAAACCAGTATTCTTTCCTTGAGAACTCCATTAAAAGTATGACAAGGCAAAAAGATATGACACGAAAGATGAACTACCCAGGTCGGTAGATAACCAATATGCTACTGGAGAGGAGTGGAGAAATAACTCCAGAAAGAATGAAGAGACAGAGTCAAAGCAAAAACACCCAGTTGTGGATGTGACTGGTGACAGAAGTAAAATCCAATGCTGTAAAAAACAATACTGCACAGGAACCTGGAATGTTAGCTTCATGAGTCAAGGTAAATGGGAAGTGATCAAATCAGATGGCAAGAGTGAGCATCGACATTTTAGGAATCAGTGAGCTAAAATGGACCAGAATGGGAGAGTTTTAACTCAGATGACCATTATATCTACGACTGTGGGCAGGAATCCCTTAGAAGAAATGGAGTAGCCATCATAGCCAACAAAAGAGTCTGAAATGCAGTACTTGGGTGCAATCTCAAAAATGACAGAATGATCTCTGTTCATTTCCAAGGCAAACAATTCAATATCACAGTAATCCAAGTCTATGCCCTGACCAGTAACACTGAAGAAGCAGAAGTTGAATGGGTTCTCTGAAGACCTACAAGACCTTCTAGAACTAATACCCAAAAAAGATGTCCTTTTCATCATAGGGGACCAGAATGCAAAAGTAGGAAATCAAGAGATACCTGGAGTAACAAGCAAGTTTAGCCTTTGAGTAGAAAATGAAGCAGCAAAGGCTAATAGAGTTTTGCCAAGAGAACGCACTGGTCATAGCGAACACCTTCCAACAACACAGGAGAAGACTCTACACATGGAAATCACCAGATGGGCAACACTACAATCAGATTGATTATCTTCTGTGTAGCCAAAGATGGAGAAGCTCTATACAGTCAGCAAAAAGAAGACCGGGGGCTGACTGGCTCAGATCATGAACTCCTTATTGCAAAATTCAGACTTAAATTGAAGAGAGTAGGGAAAATCGCTAGACTATTCAGGTATGACCTAAATCAAATACCTTATGATTATACAGGGGAAGTGAGAAATAGATTCAAGGGATTACATCTGATAGAGTGCCTGAAGAACTATGGAGGCAGAGATCAAGACCATCCCCAAGAAAAAGAAATGCATAAAGGTAAAATGACTGTCTGAGGAGGCCTTACAAATAGCTGAGAAAAGAGAAGCGAAAGGCAAAGGAGAAAATGAAAGATATACCCATCTGAATGCAGAATTCCAAAGGAAAGCAAGGAGAGATAAGAAAGCCTTCCTCGGTCATCAGTGCAAAATAGAGGAAAACAATAGAATGGGAAAGACTAGAGATCTCTTCAAGAAAATTAGAGATACCAAGGGAATGTTTCATCAAAGATGGGCACAATAAAGGACAGAAGTGGATGGACCTAACAGAAGCAGAACATATTAAGAAGAGGTGGCAACAATACACAGAACTGTATAAAAAAGATCTTAATTACCCATATAACCACTATGGTGTGATCACTCACCTAGAGCCGGACATCCTGGAATGCAAGGTTAGGTGGGCCTTCGGAAGCTTCACTACAAACAAAGCTAGTGGAGGTGATGGAATTCCAGTTGAGCTATTTTAAATCCTGGAAGATGATGCTGTGAAAGTGCTGCACTCAATATGCCAGTAAATTTGGGAAACTCAGCAGTGGCCACAGGATTGGAAAAGGTCAGTTTTCATTCTAATCCCAAAGAAAGGCAATGCCAAAGAAGTTCAAACTACTGCACAATTGCACTCATCTCACACGCTAGAAAAGTGCTCAAAATTCTCCAAGCCAGGCTTCAACAGTACGTGAACTGTGAACTTCCAGATGTTCCAAGTTGGATTTAGAAAAGGCAGAGGAACCACAGATCAAATCGCCCACATCCTCTGGATCATTGAAAAAGCAAGAGAGTTCCAGAAAAACATCTACTTCTGCTTTATTGACTATGCCAAAGCCTTTGACTGTGCAGATCACAATAAACTGTGGAAAATTCTTCAAAGGATGGGAATAGCAGACACCTCACCTGCTTCCTCAGAAATCTGTATGTAGGTCAAGAAATAACAGAAAGGACATGGAACAACAGACTGGTTGCAAATAGGAAAAGGAATATGTCAAGGCTGTGTATTGTCACCTTGCTTATTTAACTTATATGCAGAGTATATCATGCGAAATGTTGGGCAGGATAAAGCACAAGCTGGAATCAAGATTGCTGGGAGAAATATCAATAACCTCAGATACACAGATGATATCACCCTTATGGCAGGAAGTGAAAAAGAACTGAAGATCTGTTGATGAAAGAGGAGAGTAAAAAAGTTGGCTTAAAGCTCAACATACAGGAAACTAAGATCATGGCACCTGGTCCCATCATTTCATGGCAAATAGATGGGGAAACAATGGAAACAGTGACAGACTTTATTTTCTTGGGCTTCAAAATCATTTCAGATGGTGACTGCAGCCATGAAATTAAAAGACACTTGCTCCTTGGAAGAAAAACTATGATCAACTAGAACTAGAGAGTATATTAAAAAGCAGAGATGTTATTTGCCAACAAAGGTCTGTCTAGTCAAAATGTTTTTTCCAATAGTCATGTATGGATGTGAGAGTTGGACTGTAAACAAAGCTGAGTGCTGAAGAATTGATGCTTTTGAACTGTGGCATTGGAGAAGACTCTTGAGAGTCCCTTGGACTGCCTGGACATCCAACCAGTCCATCCTAAAGGAAATCAACCCTGAATATTCACTGGAAGGACTGATGCTGAAGCTGAAGCGCCAATACTTTGGCCACCTGTTGGGAAGAACTGCCTCATTGGAAAAGACCCTGATGGTGGGAAGATTGAAGCCAGGAGGAGAAAGGGACAACAGAGGATGAGATGGTTGGGTGGCATCACCAACTTGATGGGCGTGTGTTTGAGCAAGCTTCGGGAGTCGGTGATGGACAGGGAAGCCTGGTGTGCTGCAGTCCATGGGGTCACAGAGTCGGACAGGACTTATTGACTGAGCTGATCAGAGGAGACAGCACCAAAAAGAGATTGCTATGGTGTATGTCAATGGTTGTTCTATATTTTGCTCTAGGAGTTTATAGGATCCAGTCTTAGATTTAGGTCTTCAATCCATTTCTTTTTCTGTGCGGTGTTAGAGAATGTTCTAGTTTCTTCTTTTTTGTAACAAGCAGCAGTCCAGTTCTCACAGCACTGCTTGTTGAAGATGCTGTCTTTTCTCCAGTATATGTTCTTGCCTGCCCTGTTGTGGATTAGTTGACATAGAGTAATGGGTTTATCTCTGGCTCTCTATCCTATTCCATGTACCTGTATTTCTGTTTTGTGCCAGTTCCCTACTATTTTGATTTCTGTTGTTTTTGTTGCTTAGTCACTAAGTCCTGTCTGACTCTTCTGCAACCCCATGGGCTGCAGCCCACCAGGCTCCTCTGTCCATTGGATTTCCCAGGCAAGAATACTGGAGTGGGGTGCCATTTCCTGCTCCAGGGGATCTTCCTGACCCAAGGATCAAACCCACGTGTACTGTGTCTCCTGCATGAGCAGGCAGATTCTTTACCACTGCACCACCTGTGGGGATTCTGTGTGTGTGTGTATGATTTTCAGATTTTCTTCCATTATAGATTGTCACGAGTTATTGAACAGTGTCCTGTGTCATACACTAGGTCCATGTTTATTTTATACGTATCAGTGTGTGTCTGCTAATCGCAAACTCCCGATTTATCTCTCCTCATCCTTAACCCTTTAGGACCATATTTGTGTTTGTTTTGTAAATAAGTTCTTTTTTTTTATATTCCACATATAAGCAATATCATATACTTGTCTTTTTCTATCAACTTGTATGTTGACTGAAGCCCCCCTTTGAGCCACCTCTGCCAGCTGCGTCTCTCACTGCAGCCCTTTGTAATAACTTGTTCAGTGTCTGACATCTGTGAGGTATGCCTCCAGCTTTGGTCATCTGGTGCATACACACAGTTTCAGCAGCTCTTGTGAGCCTGTTGGTAAAGCCCAGGCTCAGAGAGGTGGCTGATGACCCATCCAGAGCACATTATCAGCCTTCTGCCCAGCCTCACAATCCCACCTCCGAATTCACAGATGTTATACCCTGTCACATGGCTTACATTTCATCTCCAGTAGTAGATTTTAGTCTCAAAAGCTGGCAACTCACCTTTGTATCCTTGTCATTTTATGCATAAAAAATGTTTAATGTGGAATATAGTAAGAATTCACAGTATAAAAGGAATTGGAACTACAGTTAATATGTAGATAAATAGTATTTAGAGACTTCATGCAACGCACAAGGACGGTCACTCTTTGGCTGTAGACGTGGCTGGTGCTGCACCGAGTTTAATAATCCTGACTCTAGATCAAAAGTCCCAGCGTGTGACTTTTACTGCTGCTCTGTATCTCAGTGTTTCTATTAAACTGTTGCCAGGATTCAGTGACTTAATATGCTTAAGTAAAATGCTAAGAAGAGTGCCTGACACCTAGTCAGTGCTTGATAAGTGGTTCCCAGGAAAGAAAATTACTTGTATGAATCCAAGGGCAACTAAGGCCACGTGCTGCAACCACGTGTGCACTCTGGACACCACGTGCACTAACTTGAGAGAAGCCAGCGGCTGCAACAAAGACCCAAAGAGCCAAAAGTAAAGTTTTAAAAATTAAAAGGACACAAAAAACACCTAAACTCTGTGTATAACACTGCACTGTCAATTATACTTCAGGTTTTATGTCAGAAAGATACTGGGGGTCCCATCAAGATGGCAGTGCAGACATATGTAAAGCTCACATCCTTCCACAAATACATCAAAAACGCATCTCCATGTGGGACAGTGCTGACAGGACACCCACGGAGCCCCAGCAGAGGACTTCAGACTTCTGAAGGGGCGAGAAAAGTCTCCATGTAACCGGGTTGGGCAAGAGAAAACCCCAGAGCGAGAAAAGTCTGCAAAGGCCCCTCACTGGCAGGGAAGTCGGCCAGGACGGAGCGGCGCTCCAGTGCCTCTGAGGAGAGAGCCGCTCTCGCTCTGTCTCAGGCACTCGTCCGTCTGCCGTCGGTGGGGCGCGGCTGGAGCTGAGGCTCTGGCAGACAGGCCTGGCGGGAGCAGGGGTGGTGGTGTGGACAACCCAGAATCTGCTTTCTCCCCACTCGCTCTCAGCAACTGGCACCCTTTCCTGGGCTGCATGCGCCAGGCGCGGGCTCCGGGGCAGGCAGCACCCACTGCGGGGAGAACAGCAGGCATCCACACTCACTGGCCCTCACCCCAGAAACCTTAACCCTACAAGGGGCACTCCCACAAAAACAGCCCTTGGAGACACAGGAGGTGATTTTTCTCTCCTAAACTCATAGAGCAAGGGAGAAGGCAATGGCAACCCACCCCAGTACTCTTGCGTGTAAGATCCCATGGCCAGAGGAGCCCGGTGGGCTACAGTCCACGGGGTCGCAAAGAGTCGGACGACTGAGGGGCTTCACTTTCACAGAGCAAGGGAAATACAAGTGAAATTGAGGAGTAAGGGGACCATCCCCTGAAACAACAATGAAAAGGGCTTCTTCAGTCTAGATATAGAGCTCAAAAAGGAGATAATAAACATACTGAAGATATTAAGAAAAGCTATTGACAGAAATGCAGATTATTAGAACGAAATAGAAAGAGGAGCCAAGAAAACTTAGCAAACACAATCACTAAGACAAAAGCCTAGGCTACAGGTGCTGAAGAGCAGGATAATAATGCCAAAGAATGAGTCTGTGCTCTGAAAAACACAATGGAAGTCACCCTGCCAGAACAGCAGACAGAAAATGAAAGAAAACAAAAGAGACTTATGGGATTATGTGCCAACCTACACATAACAGGAATTCTAGAAGAAGGAAGAGAGGGGATCAAAAATGTATTGGGAGAAATGCTTATATGCCCAGGAGAAAAAGACAACCTATGGAACAGGAGAAAATATTTGCAAACATTTGTGATGTCCAAAGCTTTAGTTTCCAAAATATACAAACAGCTCATACAACTCAACAACAGCAAAACAACGCAATCAAAAAATGCCTGAAGACCTAAACAGATATTTCTCCAAAGCAGACAGGTGGCCAACAGGCACATGAAAAGCCATTCAACATTGCTAATTATTAGAGAAATGCAAATCAAAACTTCAATGAGACAACACCTCACAATGGTCAAAATGGCCATCATCCAAGTCTACAAATAACAAATGCAGGAGAGGGTATGGAGAAAAGGGAACCCTCCTACACTCTTGGTGGGAATGTAAATTGGTGCAGCCACTGTGGAGAACAGTAGGGAAGATCCTCAAAAAACTAGAGCTGCCTCCTGCAATCCTACTCCTGGACATATATCCAGACAAAACTGTTAGTTCAGAAAGATAATGCACACGAACATTCACTGCAGCATATTTACAATAGCCAAGACAAAGAAGCACCAATAAATGTCCACTGATGGATGAATGGATAAAGACGTAGTGTGTGTGTGTGTGTGTGTGTGTGTCTGTGCTGTTGTTGTTCAGTTGCTTTGGCCAGCCCATGGACTGAAGCCCGCCAGGCTCCCGTCCATGGGATTTCCCAGGCGAGATACTGGACTGGGTTGCCATTTCCTTCTGCATGTCTTTGTGTGTGTGTATATATAGATGGAATATTACTCAGCCATAAAAAGAATAAAATAATGCCATTGTAGAAACTTGGATGGAACTAGAGAAGTCAGAGAAAGACAAATACCACATGACATCATTTATATGAGGATATGACACAAATGAGCCTACCCATGAAACAGGAAGAATCAGAGAGAACAGACTTGTGGCTGCCGAGGGGGAGCTGGGGAGAGGACGGATGGAGGGAGCAGAAGATAAGCAGAGGCGAACTCTTCCATTCAGAATGGATGCGGGACACCCCTGGTGGTTCAGCAGCTACAACTCTGCACTCCCAACGCAGCAGGCCCAGGGTCAATCCCTGGCCAGGAAGCTGGACACATGTGGCAACTAAGAGTCTGCATGTCGCAACTAAAGACCCCTCAGGCTGCAGCAGAGACTGAAGACCCCACATGCCAAGACGAAGATCCAGCACAGCCAAATAAATAAATATTTTTTTAAAAAATTAAGAACAGATAAACAATAAGGTCCTACTTTATAGCACAGGGAACAATATTCGATATCCTGTGATAACCATAATGGGAAAATGAAAAAGAATATAAAAAAGAATGTGTGTGTGTATATAACTAAATCACGTTGCTATATAGCAGAAATTAACACAACATTGTACGTCAACTATTCTTCAATTGAAAACGTATATAGGCTTCCCTGGTGGCTCAGATGGTAAAGAATCCACCTGCAGTGCGGGAGACCTGGGTTAGATCCCTGGGTCGGGAAGATCCCCTGGAGGAGGGCATGGCAACCCACTCCCCATTCTTGCCTGGAGAATCCCGTGGACGAGGAGCCTGGTGGGCTGCAGTCCCTGGGGCCGCAAAAAGTGCAACATGACTGAGCGACTGAGCACAGCATGTATTCAACAGCCACACAAGTATTTTTGGGGTGTGCTGGGGAGAAGCAGTGCTGCTCCAGTGACTGAACAGCACTCTGAAGGGCAAAGATTTCAATCGGAGCTTGATCACAGACTGCATGAAGCAAGAGCGTGTTCTACTCAGCTCTTTAAAATAGCCAACATCAAAAAATAAACAAACGAAATAGCCAACATCAAAAAATAAACAAACAAAATAGCCAACATCAAAAAATAAACAAACAAAATAGCCAACATCAAAAAATAAACAAACGAAATAGCCAACATCAACCCTACTTAAGGACTCATCGCCTTTGCCTGTGTCCACTGTAGAATAGCCCAACTGTACAAAAACGCAGATTCTGTTCTCAGATATCTTAAAGTGTGAATTAGGTATCCATCTTTTACTGTCAAAAATGTGAGGTTAACAGAGCAAAGGACAGAGATCAGTGAATTTTAGGGAGCGTCCAAGAACCAAGGGAGCAGGTATGCAGAAAGTTTGTGAACATGTGCATTACTTTGAGAAGGTCCTTTAGTCCAACATCCTCCAGGGGATTTCTTTTAACCTTCAGTTCAGCTCAGAAAATTACACACACACAAATACCATGTGATGTTTCTCATTTTTTAAGCTACCTCTGCCAAGGTGGTGCCAGACTTCCCAGTAACAGGAGCAGGTAGAAAGGTTGGCTTGTGTTTTCCTGGCTTTTCTCTGCTTTGTTGAAATTATATTGCTTTTTTAACAAACCCAAAGAAAATCTCTAGCTTTGACATTGTTAGCTTCCTTATTCTATTAAAAAAAAAAAAAAAGATGCTACCAGGAAGAAACCAAGGCATAAATATACATGAATTACGTTTGAAAACTTGTTATATTTGTGAGCATTCTCTCACCCCCAAAGTCTGCTGTTTACTTTGTTGAAATTCCTCCTCTAAAGGGCCCCTGAAAACCTTTCACTTTGTTTTTCTGTTTCTTTTCTAGCTTCATGTTCATCTCTTTCCCAAACTGGAACATTCAGTTCTGTTCAGTTCAGTTGCTCGGTAGTGTCTGACTCTTTGCGACCCCATGAACCCCAGCACGCCAAGCCTCCCTGTCCATCACCAACTCCCGGAGTCCACCCAAACCCATGTCCATCCAGTCGGTGATTCCATCCAACCATCTCATCCTCTGTCGTCCCCTTCTCCTCCTGCCCTCAATCTTTCTCAGCATCAGGGTCTTTTCAAATGAGTCAGCTCTTCGCATCATGTGGCCAAAGTATTGGAGTTTCAGCTTCAGCATCAGTCCCTCCAATGAACACCCAGGACTGGTCTTTAGGATGGACTGGTTGGATCTCCTTGCAGTCCAAGGGACTCTCAAGAGTCTTCTCCAACACCACAGTTCAAAAGCATCAATTCTTCAGTGCTCAGCTTTCTTTATAGTCCAACTCTCACATCCATACATGACCACTGGAAAAACCATAGCCTTGACTAGACAGACCTTTGTTGGCAAAGTAATGTCTCTGCTTTTTAATACGCTGTCTAAGTTGGTCATAACTTTCCTTCCAAGGAGTAAGTGTCTTAATTTCATGGCTGCAGTCACCATTGCAGTGATTTTGGAGCCCAGAAAAATAAAGTGACACTGTTTCCACTGTTTCCCATGAAGTAATGGAACAAGATGCCATGATCTTAGTTTCCTGAATGTTGAGCTTTAAGCCAACTTTTTCACTCTTCTCTTCCAGTTTCATCAACAGGCTCTTCAGTTCTTCTTAAACATTTTCTGCCATTAAAGTGGTATCATCTGCTTATCTGAGGTTATTGATATTTCTCCCTGCAATAATTCCAGCTTGTGCTTCCTCCAGCCCAGCGTTTCTCATGATGTACTCTGCGTATAAGTTAAATAAGCAGGGTGACAATACACAGCCTGACCTACTCCTTTCCCTATTTGGAACCAGTCTGTTGTTCCATGTCCAGTTCTACCTGTTGCTTTCTGACCTGCATATAGGTTTCCCAAGAGGCAGGTCAGGTGGTCTGGTATTCCCATCTCCTTCAGAATTTTCCACAGTTCGTTGTGATCCACACAGTCAGAGGCTTTGGCATAGTCAAAAAAGCAGAAATAGATGTTTTTCTGAACTCTCTTGCTTTTTTGGTGATCCAACGGATGTTGGCAATTTGATCTCTGGTTCCTCTGCCTTTTCTAAAACCAGTTTGAACATCTGGAAGTTCACCATTCACGTATTGCTGAAGCCTGGCTTGGAGAATTTTAAGCATTACTTTACTAGTATGTGAGATGAATCCAATTGTGCAGTAGTTTGAGCATTCTTTGGCATTGCCTTTCTTTGGGATTGGAATGAAAACTGACCTTTTCCAGTCCTGTGGCCACTGCTGAGTTTTCCAAATGTGCTGGCATATTGAGTGCAGCACTTTCACAATGTCATCTTTCAGTATTTGAAATAGCTCAACTGGAATTCCATCACCTCCACTAGCTTTGTTCGTCGTGATGCTTCCTAAGGCCCACTTGACTTCACATTCCAGGATGTCTGGCTCTAGGTGAGGGATCACACCATTGTGATTATCTGGGTCATGAAGATCTTTTCTGTACAGTTCTTCTGTGTATTCTTGCCACCTCGTCTTAATATCTTCTGTTTCTGTTAGGTCCCTACCATTTCTGTCCTTTATTGTGCCCATCTTTGCATGAAAGGTTTCCTTGGTATCTCTAGTTTTCTTGAAGACATCTCTAGTCTTTCCCATTGTGTTGTTTTCCTCTATTTCTTTGCATTGATTGCTGAGGAAGGCTTTCTTATCTCTCCTGGCTATTCTTTGGAACTCTGCATTCAAATGGGTATGTCTTTCCTTGTCTCCTTTGCTTTTCGCTTCACTACTGACCGTATTTTCCCGTCGGCCTCCATTTCGTACTAACAGCACTGACGCACCCAAAGGAGAAAGCTTCCCTAAAAGCCTGGAGACTCAGGTAAAGGCACCGTGTTCTTTCCCTGCCACCGTCCTCCACCCCAACCTCCACCTCTGCAAACACATCCCTCTTTTCCTGCCAGGGATAAATGAACAGTCAACAAATCTAAACATATATTTCATGATGATAAAAAAAAGTTACCTTAATTTGATGCTTTTGAACTGTGGTGTTGGGGAAGCCTCTTGAGAGTCCCTTGGGCTGTGAGGCAATCCAACCAGTCCATCCTAAAGATCAATCCTGAATATTCATTGAAGGACTGATGCTGAAGCTGATACTCCAATACTTTGGCCACCTGATGTGGAGAGCAGACTCATTTGAAAAGACCCTGATGCTGGGAAAGATTGAGGGTGGGAGGAGAAGGGGACAACAGAGGAGATGGTTGGATGGCATCACTGACTCAATGGACACGAGTTTCAGCCAACTCCGGGAGTTGGTGATGGACAGGGAGGTCTGGTGTGCTGCAGTCCATGGGGTCACAGAGTCGGACACGACTGAGTGAGTGGACTGAATTGCAAACGTGCAACCATCATGCCTTTTGAGATTCCATAGTGGCATTGGTCTTCCCTTCGGGTTTTCTACTTTCTTAAGAAAGGTAAGGGCAGGGCCAGAGCGGAGCAGCTCAGAACACAGAACAGGCCGAGGGCCGCGGCCAGTGGCCGCTTCAGCGCCTCTTACATAAAACCACGAGGGTCGGCCTGAGAAACACCGGCTGAGAGGGGTGACGTCATTAAGCTGACCGCAATACCGCGGTCTGATCCTGGTTCTACTTCTGAGGTTCCATACTTATGAATTTTACTTCCAGGTAACATGGAAGCCACAATGCTTTCTTCTCTTACAATGAATACTCCCAGAGTTGAACCACCAAAACATTTTTACTGAGACTGCTGACCGTGGATGTATGGGCTGGGGTGGGAGGGAGACAGTCGCCTTCTACGTGGTCACAGCCCCCAGGAGGACGCCAGCGGCTCCCCACGCGCCCCACGCCTGCCCCCCACCCCGGGAGCAGCTCGCCTCCGACTCGCCGAGACGAGGACCTGGCCTGGGCTGGCCGCTCCTTCCTGTCCCGTGCGTCCTCGGAGCGGGCCTGCTGTGGAGCGCATCGCTGCCCGGGCCAAGCACGGAGCTTAAGGGGAGAGGCCCTGCCCCGGGGGCGTGTGACGGGGTGTGGAGCTGCTGGTCAGTCAGTCGCAGCCCGAGGTTATTAGCCCATCTCCCACAGATACGGAAGTCACCATCTCCGACATGCATTCTGGTGTTAAAATATTCTGGCCGTCGTGCGCCTCGTTCCTTCAGCTGCTAAGATGGCTCAGAATTCAGAAAGGAAGAGTGATGCTCTTTGGTGGGTACTGATACCCAGTACCCAGTACGATATAGCTTTTTCAGCACTGTGAGTAACATTAGAAACCTATGGGAGATGTCTAAACATCAGCTGTTATGTTTTGGGGGGGCAGGGGTGGTGTCTCCTTATTCATCTATCTCACAGATGCAAAGCAGGAAAAACTGGGGCATGGGGTGGCTGCTTCTAAAACCAAGACCACTTCTTTAGCTGGATTTTTTTTCTTTTTTAATAAGTGACAATAGGCACAGTAAGTGTCTCTCTTGAAAATCTCTCAGTAATGGGCTGTGAATTTTTATGAAACTTCCCACAAATGCAACAATTCTGAACACCTCCCTCAAAATACTGCATCCTAAGAACTAAGGATGTAGTCAGTCATTAACCAGATCACACATTTGCCCTGTTAAACACAAATCTGTCAGAAGAAAACACACCAACAGACAGAGCTTTTTAAAATATAATTTAAAACTATTTTGTACCAGTACAATATATTAATTTTACAAATGTAAAATTTTATCCGCTGTTAAAGCATTTGCAAAAACCACACATCCTACTTCAGCTTTATTGCACAGTATCTATAAGAAAATATTAATTTTTAAATTAGAAAACATAAAAATGCTTTCAATATAGAAGAGACAATCTGATTTTAAAGACAATATTCTATAAGAATGTCTACCCAGAAAATAACAAACATTTCACAGGACACCGTGCTGGTCAGGTGCTTCAGCAGATCCAGGACAAAGCACTGTTTAATACCAGTCCAAGATACTTAATCCAAACTCTATCATTCTTCTTCATTAGAAATCTAGATGCCACTCAAGGTGGTTTCTTTAAAAAGTTGAGGCATTTCTCAGTTGTGAGCATTCTGAGTGTATCTTAAACATTAAAAACCATCCTTCCAACTCCACAGCTATCTGCAGGGCTTTTTCCTTCACGCAGACTCTCTGGCAACTGTATCTAATGGTTATCAATTGATCATTTCAGTTAGTTTATGCTGATAGAAAGCACTGAGTTACAGACACTTTTAAAACCTAGTCCTTTACAAAAAGCAGTTTATAAATTTGTATCATAAAAATTAGTGTCGAGACCATCAAGATGGCCACCGTTTGCTTTATGAGTTGGTTCTCCCAGAGCTGGGGTTGCAGACGTCCCACTTTTCAGTGTAGTGTTAATCAGGAAATAAATCCCAGCAAGAAGCCGGAATCCCAAGACAGGTTAACAAGGTTTTATGACGGATTTTAGTGGGATATTATTACCCTGTACCAAAGCAGGTGTTAAAATACTGACAGAAGATCTTGGTGGTAACTGAATTCATCTCCAAACATGAATATAATCTGGAGACGCCAAAGGACAAGTGTCCATAAACACATTATCAGTTGGGCTGAGTATATTGTAGAAAAGGGGAAAAATCTTTATTTGTTAAAAAAAGCAAAGGATTCACTAAATTTGATCCATAATATAGATTATACATCTTTTTAAATTAAAGCATGTTAATTCAATCTCAAGTGTTTTCAAATGGATGCCTTTGTGGCCCAAGAAATTGCCTTTTGGAACTTATGGCCTGCATAAGCAAAGTCAAATATAGTATTACAGACTCATGTAGAGAAAACATTAAAATAGTGGTTATGCACTCACAAGTTTGTTATAGGTAGACAGAATTATCAAAAACCCAGACGCTTATAAAAAAAAAAAGTCTGCATTGTTTAGAATTTCTTCTTTAGAAATCAAAGCAGTTGCTTTTCTGGAACTGCATTTTTCAGAAATGCTCAAAGCACCTCATCTAGATGAGTGTTTTTTAAAAATATATATAAAAAGTCTACCATGAGACTTCAAACATCATGTTTCACCTTTTATGGGCTTTTTATCATGTATCCCTTCCTTTAAAGTCCTTCAGAATAAAATAAAAATAAACTCTCACATTCCATTAGAAAAAAATGGAAACATTCACGGTCTGAAAATTTTCTGCATTCCCCCAAATCTTGGTACTATGTGCAATTTCCTCATATACAAGTTGTGAGGAAACCCCTGATCATCTAGTACTGAATATTCAGCTAATGGACATGCCATAGAAAATTGACATTAATAATAGTAAATAGATTAAAATCTATTCCATAAAATAAAAATGTTCTATGACTTCAAATTTAAATACACATCTGAAAAGCTAAGAGGAGGTTTTTTGTTTTTCAAAAGTGCTAATTGTTACAAGTATCTTCAATACATTTTGTCCAATTCTTTGTAAAACTAAACCATGCTTTAGGCACACTGTTTGATGAGTTTCTAAGAAGCAGAGGAAAAAAATATCACTTGTCAATTAATCCAGCTTCCTTAATTTTACTGAAGAAGAATTTCTCCAGGATATTGGCACATTTGTAGTATTCACTCTCAGGGGGGTTGTACTCTTTGCAATTGGTAAAGACTCGCTGCAAGTCTGCCATGAACAATTTCTTAGACACGTAGTACCTATTCTTGAGGCGTTCACTCATGGTTTTCAGATCTACACAGGGAAAAAAAATATTAGCAATTTTTGACTCCTTTCAAACACTTGCTGACAAAAGTGAGACTGGGAAAGAAATGTGTCATCAGTCTGCCCACATTTTCACCACCTCAATAGTTTGTTTTAAGAGAAAATTCATATGATCAAGGAAAACAGTTCTTGAGGCTTGTGTTCTTCTGTGAGGGTATCCTGTGCAAAATCAGTGTTTTAACACTGAAGGGACCATCAGTGGTCATCTGGTGCAATCCCCTATTCAGTGTGAGGAAGCTAAGTAAATCAGCAGCGATAAGTACGATAAACTAAGTACTGTGAGCTGATCACTCAGAAGTATAGAGAATGGGCTCCACCTACATGGAGTACAGCGGGCGGAACATTTGCATTGAATTATTTCATTACTTAAACAATCAGGATGAGTTTGCTTCTCTAAATCCCCAGCTGCTTTGGTGTTGCAGAGAGAACTAAAGTAGGGAAACAGATCATAAATACATCTGCCAAGTATAACAGCGACCTTGCATGTAAAATGTTTCCAGTGAATTTAGTTTCATGCTCCATTGATGAAATAAGAATGACAAACTTTACTTAATAAAATACTTTCTAAAGCAAGTAAACCTTGCAAGACAATTGTAAAAAGAATATTTCCCCAATATATCTACTTGCTTTAAATAATATTACTTTACAAATGAAAACAGTGCTCCATCTAAATTTGTAAGAATATAATGGGGCTTCTTTAATTCTCACTCTCAGAACCAATTTAAAGAATTCCATGCAGATTAGAAGATGCTGACATTTGCCTGTTTATAGGTCCCTAGTTGTCTCTAAGTCTGGTTCTATCATTAAAAATTATATCAACTATTAAACTGGATTAGCAGATATACACTACTGGATATAAAACAGATAAACAAGGTGTGTAGCACAAGGAATTATATTCAATATCTTGAAATAAACCATAATGGAAAAGAATATGAGAAAAATTACATAAACTAAGCATGAAAATATATATATATATAAATTAAGCATGAGTCAAAACCACTCAAGAAATGCTTCTGACTACCAGTGACCCAAATTCCCACTCTATTATCAAATTTTCCAGAGGGAAAGACACAATCAAATACACTGGGATTATCATTTAATAAGATAAATAAATTTATGTGCAACGTCTCAAGTGGGCAGAAACTGATTTGCATCAAGATCCTTCCTAAATCTACCACAAAATTCGAAGGAGACATGGGAAATACCTGCTTTCCTGTCTCCTTTGATTGAAGCCTATCTTTTTTTCATTCTTTGATTGAAGCCTATATTGGTTAGAAATAAGTCATCACATGTGTGTGTGTGTGTTCAACTTTACACTTTCTTTCTTCTCTAACTGAAACAGTTTGGAAGGAGACAAAAATTGAAAAGTGTGTGAAGGCTCAGCAGACGCCCCAGGAACCGTCTCCCAGGTGTGACAGGTGAGGATGTGCTCTCGTTTAATAAAGCAGCACTGTCCTCCTGGGGGAGACTGGAGGCTTACCCTTCCCTCCACCTAAATGCCAGTTAAGGGCGGCTGAGAACATGCTGCAATGTTTAGAAGGAAGACAGGTGCAAGCAAAAACAGGCGGGGTGGGGCGGAAAATGAAACTTGACACAAAGAAGCTTAGCCTACACCTTTTCAAACTATTCTTTGGAAGAGAGGAGGAAAGAACAGCTGGGGATGGCAGAAGGAGAGTCACAGAAGTGTCTGGACCTTTCCGAATAGTGACAATCAATGCTGCATGCTTCCTTCTCCATTTCCTTTCTCCTCTAAACTGACAGACAGCATTTTCCTTCCTCTGACCTTCTTAGACTCTTTCAGTTGAAAAAATGGCCTGGGTCACAGAAGAAGGTGATCGCACACCAGTGGTAACAATCAGGGGACAGGGCTGAGGACCATCCCCCCGGGAGCACGAACATCCCGGGCCGGTTCTCAGGAGGGCCTGGGGTGGCCCCGGTGACAAGGCTGCAGAGGCCACTGAGGTCTGGACACGGGCGTAGAGGGTTCCAGCACATCTTTCACGTCTCGTGTGTGTGCTGAGTCGCTCAGTCGTGTCCCACTCTCTGGGACCCCGTGGGCTGCAGCCCCCAGGCTCCTCTGTCCCTGGATTCTCCAGGCAAACACTGGAGCGGGTGGCCAGACCGTCCTCCAGAGGGTTTTCCCGACCCGGGATCCAACCCGCCTCTCTTGTGTCTCCTGCTGGCGGCGGGTTCTCTACCACCAGCGCCACCTGGGAAGCCCTTTTCACATCATGGGAATTAGCAACGCCCAGGTCAGCCTTCCATCTAGAATTCTCCACTCTCTCCACCCTCACTCGGACTTTCAGACTGAAACACATAGGAATAAGGCCGAGAGAAAAGGGAAAGAGAACGGCAAGCATGCGTGGTCACTCTAAGGCCTGGAGACCACGGGAGCTACCGCTGCACGGTGGAAACCCTCCTGAGACGACTAAGGCCAGAGACACATCCGCCAGCGACTGCTCCAGGGGAGGCGGCGGGTCCCTCTCCCTCTCCTTTCACCTCCTAACGCCCTCTCAGCCCCAGCAGGCCGCATGGAGAAAAGGGACAGAAGATCTCGCTCCCCAAAAGATGGCCCCACAACTAACTGATTGGGAAAAAAATGAAATTCAGCTAGTGGTCTTCAATTTGCACAATGCCACATTAGTTTAATTTGGGGATTCTCAACTGACTCCATTAATCATCTATTTTAGCCTGGTGCAGACTCAGCAACGAATTCCACAGTTCTACATTTCTAAAGGCATCTTCTATTTGTTTTGGATGTGGAACAAGGCTTAAAACAGGAGTGTAATTAGTAAGCCTCCCAGTTTCCACCGAGCGCCTGGGGGAGCCAAAGCAGCAGGAATGCTCATCACTTCTGTCTACAAGGACATCGGGCCAGCGGCGTCAGCTAACTTCACCTGTTTACCTTCCAAATCTCTCAGGCTCTCAAAGCCACCAAGGGGACAAGCTGACACTTTTCCACTAGCAGCCCAACAGGTTATAAGCAAGGTTGTGTTCAAACAGCACACTTTCACCACTGGTGCCGTCTGAGCTCATGCTGACAGAGCGGCCTTGACAGGACAGCGGAGAGTCATCTCCAAGAACACGGCTGCCCGGTGCCCACTCCCTCCTCTGACCCCCTGCTCACCCCGCTCCCTGGTCCCTGCTCTGACCCCTGCTCGCCCCGCTCCCCGCTCCCTGCTCTGACCCCTGCCCGCCCCGCTCCCCGCTCCCTGCTCTGACCCCTGCTCACCCCACTCACCCCGGTCCCTGCTCTGACCCCCTGCCCGCCCCGCTCCCCGCTCCCTGCTCTGACCCCTGCTCACCCCGCTCCCCGCTCCCTGCTCTGACCCCTGCCCGCCCCGCTCCCCGCTCCCTGCTCTGACCCCTGCTCGCCCCGCTCCCCGCTCCCTGCTCTGACCCCCAGCCCGCCCCGCTCCCCGGTCCCTGCTCTGACCCCTGCTCACCCCACTCACCCCGGTCCCTGCTCTGACCCCCTGCCCGCCCCGCTCCCCGGTCCCTGCTCTGACCCCTGCTCACCCCACTCACCCCGGTCCCTGCTCTGACCCCCTGCCCGCCCCGCTCCCCGGTCCCTGCTCTGACCCCTGCCCGCCCCGCTCCCCGCTCCCTGCTCTGACCCCTGCTCACCCCGCTCCCCGCTCCCTGCTCTGACCCCTGCTCGCCCCGCTCCCCGCTCCCTGCTCTGACCCCTGCTCGCCCCGCTCCCCGCTCCCTGCTCTGACCCCTGCTCGCCCCGCTCCCCGCTCCCTGCTCTGACCCCTGCTCGCCCCGCTCCCCACTCCCTGCTCTGACCCCTGCCCGCCCCGCTCCCCGGTCCCTGCTCTGACCCCTGCTCACCCCACTCACCCCGGTCCCTGCTCTGACCCCTGCTTGCCCCGCTCCCCGGTCTCTGCTCTGACCCCTGCCCGCCCAGCTCCCCGGTCCCTGCTCTGACCCCTGCCCGCCCCGCTCCCCGGTCCCTGCTCTGACCCCTGCTCGCCCCGCTCCCCGCTCCCTGCTCTGACCCCTGCTCACCCCACTCACCCCGGTCCCTGCTCTGACCCCTGCTCGCCCCGCTCCCCGCTCCCTGCTCTGACCCCCTGCCCGCCCCGCTCCCCGGTCCCTGCTCTGACCCCTGCTCACCCCACTCACCCCGGTCCCTGCTCTGACCCCCTGCCCGCCCCGCTCCCCGGTCCCTGCTCTGACCCCTGCCCGCCCCGCTCCCCGCTCCCTGCTCTGACCCCTGCCCGCCCCGCTCCCCGGTCTCTGCTCTGACCCCTGCCCGCCCTGCTCCCCGCTCCCTGCTCTGACCCCTGCCCGCCCCGCTCCCCGGTCCCTGCTCTGACCCCTGCCCGCCCCGCTCCCCGGTCTCTGCTCTGACCCCTGCCCGCCCTGCTCCCCGGTCTCTGCTCTGACCCCTGCCCGCCCCGCTCCCCGGTCTCTGCTCTGACCCCTGCCCGCCCTGCTCCCCGCTCCCTGCTCTGACCCCTGCCCGCCCCGCTCCCCGGTCCCTGCTCTGACCCCTGCTCGCCCCGCTCCCCGCTCCCTGCTCTGACCCCTGCTCACCCCACTCACCCCGGTCCCTGCTCTGACCCCTGCTCGCCCCGCTCCCCGCTCCCTGCTCTGACCCCCTGCCCGCCCCGCTCCCCGGTCCCTGCTCTGACCCCTGCTCACCCCACTCACCCCGGTCCCTGCTCTGACCCCCTGCCCGCCCCGCTCCCCGGTCCCTGCTCTGACCCCTGCCCGCCCCGCTCCCCGCTCCCTGCTCTGACCCCTGCCCGCCCCGCTCCCCGGTCTCTGCTCTGACCCCTGCCCGCCCTGCTCCCCGCTCCCTGCTCTGACCCCTGCCCGCCCCGCTCCCCGGTCCCTGCTCTGACCCCTGCCCGCCCCGCTCCCCGGTCTCTGCTCTGACCCCTGCCCGCCCTGCTCCCCGGTCTCTGCTCTGACCCCTGCCCGCCCCGCTCCCCGGTCTCTGCTCTGACCCCTGCCCGCCCTGCTCCCCGCTCCCTGCTCTGACCCCTGCCCGCCCCGGTCTCTGCTCTGACCCCTGCCCGCCCCGCTCCCCGCTCCCTGCTCTGACCCCTGCCCGCCCTGCTCCCCGCTCCCTGCTCTGACCCCCTGCCCGCCCCGCTCCCCGGTCTCTGCTCTGACCCCTGCCCGCCCTGCTCCCCGCTCCCTGCTCTGACCCCTGCCCGCCCCGCTCCCCGCTCCCTGCTCTGACCCCTGCTCACCCCACTCACCCCGGTCCCTGCTCTGACCCCTGCTCGCCCCGCTCCCCGCTCCCTGCTCTGACCCCTGCCCGCCCCGCTCCCCGGTCCCTGCTCTGACCCCTGCTCACCCCACTCACCCCGGTCCCTGCTCTGACCCCTGCTCGCCCCGCTCCCCGGTCCCTGCTCTGACCCCTGCCCGCCCCGCTCCCCGGTCTCTGCTCTGACCCCTGCCCGCCCTGCTCCCCGCTCCCTGCTCTGACCCCTGCCCGCCCCGCTCCCCGGTCCCTGCTCTGACCCCCTGCCCGCCCCGCTCCCCGCTCCCTGTTCTGACCCCTGCCCGCCCCGCTCCCCGCTCCCTGCTCTGACCCCTGCCCGCCCCGCTCCCCGGTCTCTGCTCTGACCCCTGCCCGCCCTGCTCCCCGCTCCCTGCTCTGACCCCTGCCCGCCCTGCTCCCCGCTCCCTGCTCTGACCCCTGCCCGCCCTGCTCCCCGCTCCCTGCTCTGATCCCTGCCCGCTCTGCTCCCCGCTCCCTGCTCTGACCCCTGCCCGCCCTGCTCCCCGCTCCCTGCCCTGACACTCCTAACCATCCACTGCCCGGCTCACGCGCCCTACCCTATGACAGAGAAACACGCCCTCGGCAATGTCTGTCCCCACACCACCATCCAGAGCTTTAAGTCTATACTTAGAAAATGTTAATGGCATTACCCATGGGGAACCTTATAACTTCATAATATCCCGGAGCTTCTGTTCTCTTCACAGGTTCCATGAAGGGCCAAGCGCTTTGATGGCTCTTGGGTAAAGAAAAAAGTAAGGTATCTAATACGGCAATTCCATGCAGGAAATCATTTCAAAACATCCGCGTGGAGTGGAGGAAAGGCGGACACCCACCTTCACCTGCTGCAGGATGCTCCTGAGCGTGCTGTATAGCTGCTCGGGGTCCCGGGCCTCCTTGCTGGAAAGGAGGGGCACACAGAACAAGGGTTAGCGTGCTGCCCCCTGCCGGGAGACGCCCACCCAGCGCATCTGCACAGAAACCTAAGATCAGAACTACTTCTGTGTGTTTTACGAAAAGTGAAACCTAAGGAGTGCTGTGGTGGTGACTACAACCAATTTGCCTGTTTTCTCTAAGTTGCTGGGCGGGGAAATAAAAGCACTTCCGTCAGTATCCTCTGGCCCATCACACTTACCTCTTCTCTCTTCCGCTCGGTTTCCAGCCAGTCTCTCCTACACACACCAACGAAATTAAACAGTGAATGAGAACTGCTTTCGGTCAAGAGAGTAGCACAGTTAATACTTATAAAAATGCAATAACGTACAGCCATGACTCAAACAAGACTACTTCTGAAGAGAGACTGAAATTAACTGCAATTAATCCTTTCCTTCCTTACACATTTGGATATATATTCCCAAGACTGGCACTGCTCCATCTGCTAGTTATTTTTTTAAAGCAGGAACTCCAACCTTTCAGAGGAAAGCATAACAAACCAGCACGTCTGGGCCTGTGGGCACATATATTTCTAAAACTGTAAGTCACATTTTCTGCTAATCACCATGTGAAACAGTTAAGCTGTTATTTTAGGTTGGAACAAACTCTGTCCTGCTCTCTATTTTATTTGGCACAGAACCTGCTTGTAACGCAAGATGGTCTCGGGCAGCAGAAAAAAGACACAGCCTGGAGTCCAACAGACCTGGATTTGATTTTTTGTTCTCTCCTTAAAAGCTAAGCTACCCTCCGTATTAGTCAGCCCTTGCCTCTGTTTATCAATGTATAAGACAGACTCCAGAACTGAGCTGATTCCTTTTGAGATTTGTTGATGCATGTATAAAAAATTAAAAAAAAAAAACAAAGAAACATAAGAATGCTTGGCACACGTACGTTCAGTGACAGGCAGCTATTACACCGTTAATAAGGATAATACACAGAAGTAAAATTTCCAGGTCTAGCAAGGAAAGTAAGCTCTACTGTACGGTATACTTTGTAATGTGGCCCAAATAATGTCTTATTTTCTTCTGGAGAATTTTAGTTTTGTTTATTTAATCGTAAATACTCTAGAAGGTCCTAGATTTGAACTGAATCAAAGTGCCAACATTTATAGCTTCTGATCAACAAAAACAGCTATTTTATATGTTTTAACCCAATATAATTTACTTCTAACATACTCAGAGAAGAACCCTTGGAAAACCACTCTAAAACAGGGAACCTGAGACCAGCGTTACACTGTTGGGTCACCTGGTTTAGAAGTCGGGGCGCTAAGCTGGGCCGAGCACAGCTCTGCCCCGGGAAGGGCGCGGACGGGAAGCCGCCTGGAGGAGGCAGGGCTGCTGCTCTTCCCGCGGTCACTGGCCACGAGCTGCTCACGGTTCCGGGGCTGAGCCAGCCTGGGCCTCAGCCTCCCGGCCCTGTGAGCAGAATTCCCTGCCCTTAAGGTCGCCTGTGGGAGCGTCCGACACCGCGCCACAACAACAGGCTCTCAAAGCGATGCGTTAACAGCTAAAGCAGGAGCCGGGCCCTGCGCTCTGTGGTCTGTCTGCCCCGGAAGCAGAGCAGACGCAAACGAGAGCACTGCGCTCTTCCAGACCGCAGGATGCCACCTAGACACGGCGGGCGGGCGCCGAACCACCGCGCTCCGGCCTGCTGCTTCCGGGGTCTCGGGGCAGACCTGAAGCTTCTGCCTTTAGAAGGTCAATACATACGAATTCCAGGAATGCTTTCTATCGGGATCTGCCGAACTCCATCTTTAAAACAGGAAAGTCCAGGGTAGACTTTCCGAATCTGGGCTTGTTTTCTTTCTATCAGCTTTTTAATGATCTGCAAAGCGCAAGAAGAAACAAGTTTAGTGACCGAAGTTTGTGGCTCCAGCTTAAGTCAGTCAACCTAAGAAGTTATTTTCCCAACAAAATTAAGGCTTTAGGAAACAAAAGGGTGAATGATATTAAACGGTGAGACATGAAAACATCCTACGAGGCCATGCACGCTTAGTGTCACCGACAGAGCCGTCGTTGAACGTCCCCTGCCCCCGGAAAAAAGCCGGCATTGGGAGACCGCACTGCCCTAGAGCCCACTGCCCTCTTCGGCCTAGGTGCCGGTCATCTCGGCCCTCCCCCGGAGCCTCGGCCACAGCCCTGCAGCCGGGCACCTCAGCTTCCCTCGCCGTCGCAGGCCCAAGCGCTGCCCCGAGCACCTGAGCGGCAGGCGGACGCACCAAGTCCCCAGCGCCCGGGGGGACGGACTCCCTGGCGCTCACATGCTTCAGGGCGTCAGCCCCAACCTCCCACGCTCGCTTCCAGAAAGCAGCTCTGCAGACTGAAGGCAGCACAGTCAGGGCAGGGGCCGCCAGAATGATTTAGGGGGTTTCGGGAGGAGTCCGTTTGTCTTGTAAAACAACTCCCTTCCCCAGTAGAGCTTCCCAACCCCGGAATCACCCAGGTCTACGCTGCGGCTGGATTCTGTACCGGCTGGGCCCCCAGGGAAGCCCGGTGTTGGGATGGAACCACTCCCAGGGCGGTTTTCCCTTTAAAGAGGGAAAGGGACTAGTGGTGCAGTGGTGAGGACTCCATGCTCCTGATGCAGGGGCACAGGTTTGATCCCTAGTCAGAGAACTAAGACCCCGCATGCTGCACAGGGCAGCCAAAAAAAGGAAAGAAAGACCAACAACAAACTCAAAGACCACCATCTCAAGATTAACTGTATCAGCGCTGAATTTTGGAAAACACTAAAACAGTAGCAGTCATTAATCAAATTAAGGGAAAAATTCAAGTTGCTAACTTCTTGATCTCAAATGGAAGACTGGTAAATGCTACAGCATGAATACATAATCTTAACAATTAAACACACGACTTCATAAAATGAATGGAAGTGGCAAAATAGACTGGTGGCAAATCTGCTCAGGGCTGTCCAACATCATGTAAACCACTCAGTAATTTAAAATTTTTCAGTAGCTACTTTAAAAAAATTAAAAGAAACAGAAGAAATTGATTTTAACAATATATTTTTATTTAACCCAATATATCTAAAATACTATTACTGCAGCATATAATCAATAGAAAAAACTATGAGATATTTTACATGCTTTTATTCACACTAGGTCTTCAAAATAGGAATGCAGTTTACACTTACAGAACATCTCAGTTTTGACTGGCCATGCAGCTAGCACCCAGTAGCTACATGTGGCTGGTGGCTGCCACTGTGGACAGGCAACTCTAAACGGAGGCTCTGCATTAGGTGTTAAGTCCAGGTCTTTTTAAAAAGACTCCTCGGGACTTCCCTGGTGGGCCAGTGGCTAAGACTCCACACTTCCAACTAAGGTCCCACATGCCACGTGGAAGTCACCCCACCCAAAAAAAGAAGAATTTCTGGAAACATGTATACAATGGAACATTACTCAGCCATAAAAAAGAATGAAATAATGCCATTTGCAACAACATGGAAGGACCGAAAGATTATCATACTAACTGAAGTAAGTCAGAGAAAGACAAATACCATGTGATATCACTTATATGTGGAATCTAAAAAAGTTGATACAAATGAACTTATTTACAAAGCACAAACAGACTTGCAGATAGAAAACAAACTTAAAATTACTGAAGGAGAGGAGGGGGAAGAATAAACTGGGAATTTGGGATTAACAGATGCACACTGCCATATAAAAAACAGACAGCAAGGACCTACTGCATAACATAGAGAACTCTACTCAAGATTTCATAAGAACCTACATGGGAAAAAATATTAATGTGTGTGTGTGTGTGTGTGTGTGTGTGTTTGTGTATGTAACACTCAATCACTTTGCTATACACCTGAAACTAACACCAACATTGTCAATCAACTATATTTCAATATAAATTTTTTTCAAAGAGTCACAATGGCAATTTCTTAAATGAAGTCCTTCAGAAAACTTAATTTCAAACACAGCTTTAAATGCTTTTTTCTCTTCACCAAAGATGCTCTCAGATGTGATAACTGGGCTTCCACCCCCTCACGGAGCACCTTGAGGCGACTGGTAATGTTGGGGTGGGGGGCTACCCAACCTCTCGGACCCTGAGGATCACTTTAGAAAGCAGACCTTTCAATCCCACTCTAGCTTCTTATCATCGCCTCCCTAGAAACTGTCTTCAGTTCATCACCATGTCTTCATCTCCGTATCCTCAAATCCATCTTTCATTCCATTTTTGTCTTTTTTTGTCTTCCCAAACAGAGAATCAGGGGGCATATCACCTACTTTTATATTTCACCAAGTTGCACGATGTCTTCCTACAAAACACCTGCTGCTCTTCTTCACTCTTTGGCTCCTCCAAGCCCTGGTTGGCAGCCTCACGTGTGAACCGAGCTTAAAGCCGACTCTCCTCCAGCCCCACACACGCCCTACTCCGTCCTGCCCGCTCCCGCCTGGCCACCCTTTCTCAGAGGCGCTTATCATGCACACGCCTCAGGCTCCAGGCGCTCCGGGGCCCAGGGGCCTCGTCTTGCGGGACTCGTCTGCTCCTGCTGACAGCCTTCCTGGTCCCCTGGCCCCTCCGGTGACGCAGGTGATGCCGGGCCCTCTGCACCCCGGGTCTGCGCTCACCCCGGCGCTCAGCCCCTCGGCCGCAGTCCTGATCCCCGTCTGCACCCCGCGGCCTCTGCTCCTGCGCCCCGGGGGGAGGACATCCGCCTGCCTGTCTGCTCCTGAGCACCGTCCGTCCCGCCCTCCTCAGGGCCTTCCAGAGCTGGACTGAACGGCACGTGTGACAATCACCTGAATTCTACAGAGGTCACTAGGTAAATCCAAGAACCTCACTAAGGTGAGTTCCGAGCTCTTTTAAAAGGAGGAGGTGAACAGCTGGATTCAGGGGTGCCTGCTGGAGACGCTGGAAACTGAGGTGGGGGACTCAAGGGGACGGGGGGGGGGCGGGGGCCTTGTCTTCTCCAGCGCCCGGCTCCGCTGGACCAAAGACAGCCCGGACAGAGGGTCCCCGAGCCAGGGGTCTGGACTCGCAGCCTGCGGACCCCGCGGGGTCCCGCTCTGGCCTCCACGGTGGGAACGTGGGGATGCAGGGAGCGGGGAAGAGTGGGGACCAAGGGGCCGGGGACATGGGGCACGGGGAGCCGGGTGCCAGCCACTAGCACACGGCTCGAACTCCGCCTCACGCTGGAACCTCTGCCCAAGAAACAACAGAGGCTGCTTCTACTTTCTAGTTTAATAAAAAGCCTTTGGCTCACTCCCGTGGGACGTGTATGGAGACGTCTGAGCCACTTTAACTAAAAGGGAAGCATTCGCGGAGCACCTGGTCCTCAGGACACGCCCTGAGAAGGCGGGTTTATCTCTGCGATGTCAGAGACGTCGACCAGGAACTAAGCACTGGGATCGAGGCACAAAAGCAGAAACAGAGAACAAAGGCAGGCCTGAGGCAGATGTTTTTTTTGTTACTCACTAGAACAAAGCACCTGCAGTGCTCTTGCCTGGAAAATCCCATAGACACAGGAGCCTGGTGGGCCGCAGTCCATGGGCTCACCAAGAGTCAGACACGACTGAGCGACTTCACTTTCACTTTTCCCTTTCATGCACTGGAGAAGGAAACGGCAGCCCACTCCAGGGTTCTTGCCTGGAGAACCCCAGGGACGGGGAGCCTGGTGGGCTGCCGTCTATGGGGTCATAGAGAGTCGGACACGACTCAGCGGCAGCGGGAGCCAGGCGCCTCTGACTGAGGGACAGGAGAATAAGGCGGGGCTGGGGCGCCCAGGTGGCTTGGGGGGCGCAGTGTCCACCTACACTGCAGGAGACACAGGAGGTGCGAGCTGGATCCCGGATCGGGAAGATCCCCCGGGAGGAGGGCCTGGCAACCCACCCCAGTGTTCTTGCCTGGAGAACCCCACGGTCGGAGGAGCCTGGGGGCTACAGTGCATGTGATCGCAGAGACTCGGACTTGACGGAAGCAAACTGACAGACAGGCACAAAGCGGGATTGACGTGGGGTGCGATTTCCCAGTGTTTGAACTCCAAGAGCTAGGGGGCCAGGAGGCTGACCCTCGGTTTGCTACGTAAAGTTCACTCGTTTAATAAACGGCCCGTGTTGTGCTCTCCTAACTATGCCTTTATGTCTCTTTCTCCTTCCTACAGAAATGTGAACCTTGTTATGCAATCAAGTCCATCAACCTTCCCTTCACCCCTTCTCTTAGTTCATACGCATAAAAGACTTGACCCCAGTATCAGAGGACAAATCTCCTGGGACTTCCCTGGGGGTCCCTTGGTTAAGACTCCACACATCCACTGCAGGGGGCGTGGGTTCAACCCCTGGTCAGGGAACTAAGACTCTGCAAGCTATGTGGTGTGGCCAAAAAAAAAAGTTCTCTCCAGATCACAAATCATTTAATATCTGGAAGAATACACTTTCAGAACTTGCAATGGAAAAGAGAGATGAATACACACTGAGATAAATATGGAAGATGATGAGTGACTGAAGTCCAAATGAGTGGATCAAACTAGTGCTTGAGAGGGTCAAAGAGGAATGGAACACAGGCAGAAGTGGTGTGTGTGTGTGTGTGCGCGTGAACTGGGAGAGGAAGTCAGTGAAGGGTGAAGACACCACGTGAAAGGGTTAGAGCGTCAGTAACAGCCTTGGAGAGCAGTCTAGAAAAGGGAATAAAGAGATGAGTCTGGGAAGAAGGCATGGGGCCGGCATGTAAGAGGCCTTGAAGGTAAAACCACTGTATTTTACACCAATTTAATAGGTATTGACCCCTGCTTCAAAGTGGTGATGCAGACAGGAGGTAAAGAAGAAGAAATCCAGACAAAGCAGAGCAAGCGGAGGTCCTGGTGCCCAGCAGATGCCGCCCCCGCCCCCCCAAGAGCCCGGGGGTGCGCACTGCGGCCCAGAGGAGCCTGGTCTGTGCAGAGGGAACCGAGTCGGCCACACGCTTACCTCCTTCTGCTTCTTAATGATGACAGAGAACTCGGTGTATGGGATCCGTGGATTTAGCTCACATCCCATTAAAGTGGCGCCTTCATAATCCTTGATGTAGCCAACATATTTGGTTTTAGGTATTTTAATTTCTTTGGAGAAACCCTGCAAAACCAGTAACTCCATTTAAAAAGGCCCTGAGCATCACACACCCTGTCTGAGTGCGAACTGCACATGAGGCCTGGCTTGGTGGCGGCGGAGGCCCGAGCTCCTCTCCGGCTATCCCGGGGCACTAGCACGGAACTCCTCTAAGAAGCTCATCAAAAATCAAACTGCGCAAATAGGAAGCAACCGAACATAAAGTAATACTAATATCTGATTGAGCATTAAACTGCACGTTCTCTCCCAAAGTAGAGAGGGCGCCTCTAGGATGTTCTGGAAATCAACTAACAGTGAACCCTATTTTGAAAGCAAAATTTGTCCAAAAATATAGCAAGAACCTTGATATTGAAGAAATGAAACACTTAATAGACAAAAAACTTCCAGACCATCACAAGTGTGGTTGTTTCAGTGACATTAATGCTTTGCAATATATTCATTTACATACTTTAGGCTGTAATAACATAGTTATACAGGGAATATAGTCATATTATTTATAACAATTTTCCTTAAGGTGTCTGTTTCAAATTTTTGCAGAAAATTACTTGGGACTTCAATTTCTTGCCTCCTCTTTCAGTAAAAACTTATTTTCCAAGCAATTATTCCCATCAGCCTCAGAGAGGACCACAGACGCAGACAAGTCATTGAAAACAGAATGGAGAGAGTGACATGGAAGCTTACACACCACCACGTGTAAAATAATAACCAGTGAGAGTTTTCTGTGTAACTCAGGGAGCCAGAGCTGGGGCTCCGGAACTCCCCAGAGCGGTGGGGAGGGGTGGGTGGTGGGAGGCAGGTGAGGAGGGAGGAGCTGACATGAGCCTGCGCTGATCCATGTGATGTGGTGGAGGCCAACACAGGAATGGGAAGCAATCTTCCTTCATTAAAAATAAACCAGCTTGGGGCGGGGAGGTGGAAAGCATGGCTGAGGGCTTCCCTGGTGGCCCAGCGGTACAGAATCTGCCTGCCGATGCAGAAGCACAGGCTTGCTCCTTGGTCCAGGAAGGTCCCACTGCACCCACGCTCTAGGACCCTGAGCTCCGGAGCCTGCGCCCCACGCCCAGCGCGGCCCCCCTGGAGCCGGGGTCGTGGGGAAGGGGGCCCGCTCGCAACAGAGAGAAGCCCACGCGGCGCTGGGCAACAGAGACAGAGGCAAATCAATGAAAAAGTCCTCATCTTTTTCTAAAAAAAATCCTTGCTGAGTTACTTTGCAATGCAAGCACAGCCTAGGAAAGCTGACACTGCCCAGTAAAATAAAGCCACTGAGATCTCTCTAGCAAGTTTTACTATAAAAGTTACCAATGCATCGCAGAATGAGAAGAAAATAAAAAGGTTAATCATCTGACACTGGAGGGAAAGCTTTCTAGTCATATGTATAAGGACTTATATTTTTCAAAGAGGTTAACAGATTTTATGTGATAAAATCTCCAAAATTCTGTACATTGGGAAAAAAGCCATAAGCAATGTTGAAACAGAAAAACCGGGGAGAAAAATCATAAAATAAAAGGTTACTACTCTCATATCCTTATATATGAGTTCTAATAAATCAATAGAAAAATAAATATTTTAATAGAAAAAGAGGCAAAATACAATAAAGTGGCATTTCAAAAAAAGAAGAAATACAAAGAGTCAATGAACAAGGAAAAACAGGTCAAATCTCACAATAATCAAATAAATGCAAACATGCGCAATTTGTTACCTAGGAAAGGGGTAAAAAAATTTTTTTCCAATAAACTCCTTTCCTGAGCCCCTTTACATACTGCTGACAAGAGCAGAAATTGTTACAGTATTTGTTATTATTTGTTACAGAGCATAACAAAACGTTAGATATGTCTGGAAGCCCACACTCACACATAGACACTTATTTACAAAAAATACATAAATTTCCCTAAATGTGGGATTAGTGTGAGAAATTAGTTTCCGTTTCTACAACAACAATTCAGAGAACCATCAAAAATCATAATTAAAAAATCAGACAATAGTAAGTAAAAAAGTCAACTAATTAAACTGCATACAGTATGAGCCAAGTTTGTGTTTATATAGACACAAACACACACAGAGAAAAAACATAGGAAGGGTATCTGTCAAAAGTTAACAGTAAATCTCTGGGTGATGGAATCACATGCAATTTTCCCTTTTTTTGGAGTTTTATTTCATTTTCCAGTTATTATATTTCTATAATAACTATACATTACTTTTGTCATCAAAAAAGTAAACGGAAAATGTTTAGGAATCTAGAATTATAAAGCACTATTAAAAAAACATGTAGCAGGGACTCCCTGGCGGTCCAGTGGTTCAGACGCCACTCTTCCACTGCAGGGACTTTACACCTGGTCGGGGAAGGAGGGTCCCACATACTGAGCCACAAGGGCAAAGAAACAGAAGAATCCTCAGAGGGCTGAAGAATCCTCAGAGGGCTGAGATGAAACTTCTAGTAGAAAGAACTAAGATGCGGCTAAGCGCCCAGCCACCCACAAGCTGACGGAGCAGGACCGTCTGGAGCCCTCTGTGACGTCAGAACTTCCTCTCGGCCATCAGAAACGCACTCTGCCTTCCAGAGATTAAATCTATTTCTCTCATTCAAGGTGAACGCCAGTCCCCCAATGTGAACCCCCCTCAGCCTGGGGAGACCACGTTTTAGACTGTCGGGGTGCAACAGTCCACCCCACTCACAGATGACATCCCTTTATTCACTCAAACATTTATTTAGTACTGATGGTGTGCTGGTCACAGCCTCTAATCCAGACTGAAGTTTACCTCTGGCTTAAAGCTTGCAAAATAAATGTGTGTCCTTATAAGGAAAAGACACTGCTGGGGGGGGAGGACTTATTTGCATGAAAGCTACTTGAGTGCATATCAAGAAAAGGAAGGGCAGAACAGGTATGCACAGCCAAAAAACCCACCTGCTTCTTGAAATATCCAATTGCATATTCATCTGCATAGGTGAGGAAGTTCAGGATGTCATGTTTTATGTGGTATTCCTTCAGGTGGTTCATCAGGTGTGTTCCATAGCCCTGTGGGCAAGTCAGTATACAGACAAATATATTACGTTCTGGACAAAAGAAAGTCCCACATTTTCACTGAGAAATACTGGCAAATTTAGGCATATGTATTACCAATGTAATATCAATACCCTTCTTGAGTTTCTGAACTTTGAAAATGAGCTGCAAAGCCAAAAAATTCAAAATTGTTGAATCAAAATACAATCATCACTTAAAAACACAAGTTTCTGACTCTTAGAAAAGAATATACCAAAGCTACAAGCTGCTCATTCACACCTAGAGATTACAGGCTGAATATTAATAGAGGTGTCTGGAGTAAATATTGATCATGAATTTCTGCTTATGTTTAGAGTATTTGAGAACCTGAGATCAAAAGAGCAATGTAAATGAGAAGGGCTAACCTTTTCTAGAATATTAACTAATCCAAGTGTTTCCTATATAAAACAAATCAGCAATCCTTTCAAAGAACTGTATCATCACACACAAAGGGTTTTCAACTTGGTCTTTTCAGACCTTTCCCAGCAAAGTCTGAGGAGCCCCAATGTGCTGAGTGAGCCAGAAGACATTAGGAAGTAACTAAGAACAGTGACAGAGGATGGGATGGTTGAATGGCATCACCAACTCAATGGACATGAATCTGAACAACTCTGGGAAATGGTGAGGGACAGGGAAGCCTGGCATGCTGAAGTCCATGGAGTCGTGAAGAGTTGGACATGACTTAGCAACTGAACAACAGCAGTGAAAATAGTGAACAATGTTGAATAAATTAATGATTGAAATATGAAAAAAAAAAGTAAATAAGTTTTTTGGTGATGGACAAAGCTTAAAGAAAATGTATAGATTTAAAGGGATGGTTTGAGAATCTCATAAAAAGAAGATGAAAGTAAACCCAGACACGAATATCTTTACATCAATATTTTAGAATTTGATGACACATTTTTCTAAAGAACTCAAAAGAGGCTCACAGGTATGACATCATGGAACTACAGCACCATACTGGAGAAGGGTCTTGGCAGTCATTTGGTCTAATTCTTCCCCATGTGAAGCTAGGAGTCTTCTGCCATCTACCTCGGGGAGGTCAGCCGCTAGAAAACCTCCAGCTTACGGTGCTCACTGAGTCCTGGGACCAGTTCGTTTTCAGCCACTGTTGTGGGTGGGAAGTTCTTTCTAATTTTCACCTGTGATCTGACCCCTTGTTTTTTCTATTGACCTTAGTTCTGCTCCTAGAATAACAGTGACTCTTCCCTGCTCTTAACAACTCCCTAAGCCCTTGAAAATCACCCACGTCCATCCGTACCTCCCAGGTCCCAGGTCCCGCCTCATCGAGGCTTCAGTCCTGCCTCGCACGCATGACTGGAGACCCCATCTCAACGTTACTCGTATCGTCCCAGGCTTGCTCCTGTGTAACAATCACTTCGAGAGCACAGATCCCAAAACCAAGCATAACATCCAGGGGATGATCTGACCAGTATGTAGGGAAAGAGTACAACTGTCTCCTATTCTGGAAACTATTCTTTCATTGGTATTGACCATAGACATGTTAGCTTTTCCCAAACATGTCACAATACTGACACTCTGCAAGTCTGAATGTAACTCAGACTAAAGAATGAAGGAAAGCTCTATTAAGGAGAAGAGAGTAAAATGGGGAAAATAAACACATAAAACTCATAATTACAGAATACAAGTAGCTGCTCAAAGTAGCAGCCACTAGCCATGTGTAGCTTTTGAGCAATGGAAATATGATAAGTCCAAATTGAGGTGTGCAAGTGTAAAATACACACCACAAAAAAAAAAAAACACCTCTCATTAACAACGTTTATTACATATTGAAATGACTGTATTTTGGACACATTCAGTTAAATAGAAAATGTCTGCAAAACAGAAACAGAGGCACAGACGCAGAACAAGCGTATGGACAGCAGGCTGGGAAGGGCGATGGGCTAGACGGGAGACTGCGGGTGGGATTTCTGCTTTACATGGAAATGTATTTGTACATGACCTACCAAATTAAATCTTGTTTTTAAAGAAAAGTGGGGGAAAAAACTGGAGAAAAGGGAAGGATTTGCTACTGCGTGTGCAGAGGAATAGTAATGTCTAGGGATCAGTAAGAAATGAGTCTTCTGATGAAACCTAGATGCAGCGGATGGAAGAGACAGGCTTTTGCTGTATACGCCACCTTGTGAGGAGCTAATAAAACTATTAGAATCCCATGGGCTCCTCTGTCCATGGGATTCTCCGGGCGGGGATGCTGGAGTGGGTTGTCACGCCCTTCTCCAGGGGGTCTTCCCGATCCAGGGATCAAACTCGGGTCTCCTGCGCCTCCTGCATTGCAGGCAGATTCTTTACCTCTGAACCTCCAGGGGGGTTCCTCTTTGCTGTATTTCCAGCATGTAAATCAATTCCAGGTACCTGGTATATACTCAATAACTATCAGAAGGTAGTTTTCCCCTGGGAATGTCTAGTTCTGCAATATTCTGCATTTTTTTCATCTTAACATATCACTGACATTGTTAATAATGGATTTATCAGAGGATGAGATGGTTGGATGGCATCACTGACTCAATGGACATGAGTTTGGGTAAACTCCAGGAGTTGGTGATGGACAGGGAGGCCTGGTGTGCTGTAGTCTATAGGGTCGCAAAGAGTTGGACACGACTGAGCGACTGAACTGAATAGAACTATGCATTTTCTCCCCTTCATCCACAATCCTAGGATTTTACTCAAGAAGAACAATAATGGCTGTTGTTAGCAGCATCTCAAAATCTGCATGACATAGTCTTTATCGCTGGCCACTGATCCGTCACCTCTCCAAAGAATTTCCAGATTCCAGCTACTTGTGAGTAGGGGCTGTCTTTCATCTTGAATCCTGTGTGACTAGTATTGTGACCAGCAGTAGTAGAAGCTCAAATATCTGCTTGTTTAAAGAAGCAGTAACAGAGTTAAGCTATTATATGCAAAAATGCTTAGATTTTTCACCCCAGCACTGTTTCTCCTCTTTGCATGCCTTTATTTTCAACTTTCATGGGCTTTCCTGGTAGCCCAGTTAGTAAAGAATCCACCTGCAATGCAGGAGACCCCAGTTCGATTCCTGGGTCGGGAAGATCAGCTGGAGAAGGGATGGGCTACCCACTCCAGTATTCTTGGTTTCCCTGCTGACTCAGCTGGTAAAGAATCCGCCTGCAACGCAGAAGACCTGGGTTTGATCCCTGGATTGGGAAGATCCCCTGGAGGAGGGAAAGGCTACCCACTCCAGGATTCTGGCCTGGAGAATTCCACAGACTGTATAGTCCATGGGGTCACAGAGTCGGACATGACTGAGCAACTTTCACTTCACTTCAACTGTCACCAAAAGGATTCCTTTCCAAATCCACCTGGTAACTTCAGTGTTTATTTAAATACTTATTATGGTTAAATAAGTATTAGCCCTGTAACTTTAAAGTTGCATATAATGTCAAAACCAAATAGTTAGATAATCTATTTTAAAACCAGGTTAGGCGCTTTAAGTAAATTCTCAAATGTTATCTTGTATGTGTTCTAAGCAAGATAAACTCACACCAAAATCTTATTTGAAGCATTACAGGAATTTATATATAAGCTTAAGTCTCTAAAATGAGTGGATGCAAATTTTAAAGTACCATTTAGCCCAGATTTTTAATACCTCAGATCAAAATTGTAATCCTCCACTTATGATCTTGCTGTTTTCACAAATAAATGCTAGTGCCATTGGCTTCCACCAGATTCATCCATTCTATTCAGTTTTTAAAGATTAATCTTAATTTGCTAAAACTACTTTCAAGTCACTTACAAAAAATGGCTTTTCTTTTTGTTTTTCCTGCTCAGTTTGTGATTTGGCCACCTTCCTTTAAATCTTTAGAAAATTACATGGTTTGGGGGAAAAAAAAATACACTACCCTTCTGGGAAGTAATAAGACAAAGCATCTGATTCATATTAAGCACCTTTAGTTACCCTCTGGAATCCTAAAAGTGTCCAAGGCAACCTTAACCAACCTTTCCAAACAAGTTGCTTGGTGTAGCTTTCTGTGCAAACAAATATTATGCAATCTTCTTCTGAAATTATAAACCAAGGGCATATTTTCAAGTTCCTCTCCCTACAAAAAGCCCAACCAAATTTTCTTTAAGCGAGTTCCTAAATTCAGGACCCTGGAGTTGTCTCTCAGTTTGGCCAGGGGTAAATGAACCTGTGACAGGCATAGCGAGCGCACCACCTGAAGACACGCCGCCAAAGCACCCTACACAGGGGCAGAGGTCAGCCTCATGCACACGTGTGCCCTCACCTCCCCCAGTCAGAAGGATGGATGTGACACTGCTGCATTTTGTTTCTCCTTGCATGCTTCACGTTGTGAGTCAACGTCAAAAGCCCCTTTTGTGCTTTCTGAGAGGAGCCCACAGCTGCTGTCGTCGGCAGTGACTGTGACACAGAGCTGAGCTGTTAATGAAGCCAGAAGCGCCCTCAGTGTTGGCTGCGGCCCCTAGGCCAAGCACGATTCCTTCCAGAGATCATCCGTTTTCGGTTTCTGTATCTGGCATTGCTTCATGGTAACTGAAGAAGGCAACAGTGTCCTTAGGCCCGCACTGTCCAAGCCCAGAGAGCCCTAGTCCAGAGCGAGGCAGGTGCAGTCTAAAACACATTGCGGATTTCAGAGACTCGGTACAAATCAAAGGATGTAAAGAGTCTCCATAATCCCGGGCCTGAGTGCCTGCTGCAAGGACAGCACTTCGATATACTGAGTGAAATACAGTATATATTTTTAGAATTATTTTTCCGTATTTTCAATGTAGCTAACAGAAAATTTAAACTCACATGTGGCTGAAGTGGGCACATCATGTTATAGATCATTGGGTAGCACTGCCTTAGACTTTCCGATACGTTATCCAGTAGCTACTGATTCAGTAGCTACTTATCTTTCCACCAAATGCCTCAGTTTTGTATGACTTTAGGACTCCCCAAGTACCAAACCCTCTGAAGACACGTGTCCGGTTCCACTTTCATGACAGCAACATCACCGAGATCCTCCTGCCGACGAGGGGTCTGGTCCACTCCCGGCAGACGGCGAAGCCAGCCGCGTGGCTAACGCGGCAGTCTGGCTCCTGGGGACGGATCTGTGCCCAGGACAGCTGGGAGGGCGAGTCAGAGTCACACACACTCGCAGACCCGACTCTCACACCCACACAGACCAGACTCACACCCACACACACAGATCAAACTCACACCCACACAGACCCGACTCTCACACCCACACAGACCAGACTCACACCCACACACACAGATCAAACTCACACCCACACAGACCCGACTCTCACACCCACACAGATCAAACTCACACCCACTCACACAGATCAGACTCACACCCACACAGACCCGACTCTCACACCCACACAGACCCGACTCTCACACCCACACAGACCAGACTCACACCCACACACACAGATCAAACTCACACCCACACAGATCAAACTCACACCCACTCACACAGATCAGACTCACACCCACACAGACCAGACTCACACCCACACACACAGATCAAACTCACACCCACACAGACCCGACTCACACTCACTCACACCGATCAGTCTCTCACACTCACTCACACCGATCAGTCTCTCACACTCACTCACACAGATCAGACTCACATTCACACAGATCAGAATCACACACTCACACAGATCAGTCTCTCACACACTCACAAAGGTCCGTCTCTCTCACACGCATACAAATCAGTCTCTCACACACTCACACTCCCCAAAAAACCCACGTTCCAAACCTTGCATGAGTACTTCTGAAACCCAGTCATACACGTATTCACATTTTTCATCAATTCCCCGACAGGATTTCTTTGGCCCTTGTCCCCTCACTTCAGGCACGAGGTCCTAAGGAACCTTTCCGAGGTCTGAGCCGCCTCAGGCCTCTCCCTAACCCACATGGCACCGCACCCCTTCTGGTGGTGCCGTGTCCCCAGGCGTGTGTGGACGCATCTGCACGTGGAAATCGCCAACACCACTGAGAGTGTTTGCAGACACCTCCTCACGGGCCATAAGCTGAACCCGAGCTGCTCCTGGGGCTGCCCGGTGTCCCCAGCCCCGGCCCCGACCCTGGGGTCCAACGAAGCCCGGTAGAGACGGACTGTGCGTATGTGGAGGCGTGTGCCCTCCACACATACACACACTCGCAGTGAGAGGATACTCCTCAGAGTCCGGGACTCTCTGGACATGGAGACCCTGCCACGCTCTGCGGCTTTTGTGAAAAGCACCACATCCTGCGTTTCTTCTGAGACCCTGGGTGAGCATTACCTTGACTTGTTCGTTAGAGGTTACGGCGCAGAAAACAATCTCTGTGAAGCCCTGGGACGGGAACATCCGGAAGCAGATACCGCCAATGACACGGCCGTCTTTGATTAAAGCAAGGGTTTTGTGTTTCCTGGAAGAAGAAGATTGCGTCACCGTTTCACCTCCTGTTCGGGGTGTTCCTCATTAACCAGTCAGGAAGACTGGAAGGAAGGGGGGTTCTTTCTTGACTTTTCTGTGGAAACCGCGTCTGTCTGGTCACCATCTCACTTAGAACATTCTCTAAGTGGATGTCTTAGAGCAAGCTTGCCACCCAAGGCGTCCCCAGAGTTTTCTTGAGGATCAAATGCCAGCCACCTGAGGGGGGTCTGAGCCCCAGGCAAAGAGCACAGAGCCCGTGGACAGGCGCTGACTGGCGCTGAAACAGGGTCACGTCCGACACCCATGGACCCAGGACGGCAGCCCAGGGGGGAGCAAAAGCCAGGGGCCTGAGCACACACTTCTGAAGAGTTCACTCTCACTCAGAAATACCACAGAAGCTATAAGGAAAAGAAAACACAGTCCACCTGCACGATTTGCTAAAACCAGGCTTCCAGACTCCCGTCAGGCCTTCGTCACTCTGAACAGTCATGGGCATGGGTCACAGTCCACACAGGTGACTGGGCTCTGTATGTTAAAATGCATTCAATTACGGAAGCTTCCTTTCCTGTCTTTTCCTTATTTTTAATGCAATGGGTGATCAGAGTTAACCTAACACTACAATAATCTTGCCAGGGCTTACAGACTCAGGCAAGAACGGAATCTACTTAAGATGCGAAAATCAGAATATTTGACTATGAGAAAACTGGGACATCCTCTTAATGCTTATATATTCCTTCACTAATGCAACGAATGAAGTACATAATGGTCACCAGCAGCTTAAAATATAAAGCCTCATTAACAAAAAATTGATCAGCTGCTGGAAAACTAATCTGAACGCCTTTGGCCACGGCCGCGGTTGTGACGTCACACTGTCCGCACAGCTGACGAGAAGCAGCAGGACTTGGTGGGTGACTGTGACTGACTTCCACTACCCGAGCGGTTCCTCTTTCATTTAAAAAGGAGAATGAGGTCCCTGGTGGTCCAGTGAAGACCTAACCTTTCAACGCAGAGGGTGGGATCAAACCCCCATTTGATTCTTGACCAGGGAACTGAGATCACACTTGCCTTGGGGTCAAAAAACCAAAACATAAGACAGAAAAAATATTGCAAAAAATTCAAGAGAGACTTTCAAAAATGGTACACATCAAAAAAAAAATCTTCAAGGCTGGTTCATGTTGATGTTTGGTACAAACCAATACAATTCTGTAAAGCAATTATCCTTCCATGAAAAGTGAATAATTTTTTTAAGTAAAACAAAAGTCTTAAAAAACAATGCATTTTGCAAAATAAATCAGGAAAGCGGAAAGCAAAGGCACGGAAGCAAAGCGGGGGCAGGACTCACGGGTCGAAGACGAGCCGCGTGATGTACTCTTTGGGCATGCGCGGCAGCTGGTGTGAAAACACGTTCTGCAGCCCCACCAGCCACATGAGCACCTTCTTGTTGGGCTTCTGGCTCAGGGAGTTGCCCACCACGTGGAACTCGATCACACCCCGCCGCTCCTCCAGTCTGGCCGCCTCGTCCCTGGCCGAGTGCGCCGACAGAAAGTTGGTCTGGGAGCAGGAGACAGGCGGTTACATGGAGCCCCTCCCTAAGACGGGAGGGGCAGTTCACGGCAGCGCCTCCCCTCCGTGCGCTAATAAGATACCTATTTGTGGGTTTCAGGGTCCCAACCAATAACACACAAGCCATGAAAACAGAACAGACAGCTAGGCAGAGAGTTCTGCCAGACCACAGTCTCCCACGTGTCCATGGACACTCGGTACAGACCAGGAGTCACCAGACTTTCTCTGAAGGGCCAGACAGCTCATGTTTGGATCTGCAAGTCAGGAGGCCTCTGCGGCAGCTGCAGACACTGCAGCAGGGTGAAGGCAGCCAGGACCACGCGGACATCGCAGTGGGGTGAACGCGGGGGAGACCACGCGGACACGTGTCGGCGGGGCAGAGCGCCCGAGGACTTGACTTAACGCGGGAGGCAGACTCTCTCTCCTGTGTGCTACAGCCTGCCAGCCCTTGGTTTTGGGACTCCCGTCTAGCTGAGCACCCTTGGGGTCACAGACCCCAAATTCTCCCTGCAGGCCCACGAGCAGCAGTCACGTCTATACTACCAGCACCTGTTTTTCATAGGATGAGAGTCTTCTTTGCAAAGGTGTCGTGTTGACCACTCTCAACCCCAGCTGGCAGCACAACCTCCTCCCAGCACCCTGCGCCCCATCCTATTTAACCCACGCAGTGGGGCGCAGGTCAATGTTCAACAAACAGACCCCCAAGGCAGAAGGGCCAGCTGCTGGCACATTCCGGCTTCACTGGTCTATGGCTGACCTGGAGGCCCAGCGGCCACCCTGGCCAATTTCAAGCTTCCAACACATTTAACAACCATCTCACAAAATTCCTGAAAATTTCACAGTTGCCTTGTGCACACCAGTACAAGGCAACTTCAGGACACCACTAAATCCACCCAACAAATCCTGAAATGTGTGACTACATCCACACTTCACAGCTGAAACAAACTGAGCAAAACTGTTCTGTGAAGCTACTAAATCCCCGACAGACATGTACACAAAAGGGACTATAGTCCCAAGTCCCAAGGACTGGATACCTAGAAGGAAATGGAAAGAACAATCTTACAAGGAGATCGCTCTCTTAACAGCATTCCAATTCTGTGCATTATCCTCAACTGCACAAAATAAATCTCTAAGGAAACATGACAAATTAAACTTGGATACCTTCACCCAGCAGAGCCACTCTCAAAAAAATTTTTTACAGATGTTTTGAAAAATCATCTCATTTCTTCATTTCCTGGAAGCTGTCAGAAACGTCTTAAACTGCTTTGCCCCTGGATATGACACGAGATAACAGCAGTCCTTTTGCCCCAAAGGCTTTACTTGCATCTAATCATGAGTAAACAGACACAGCCAAATACAGAGGCCTTATGCCAAAGCAGGACTCTGCAACAATGGTGCTGCCACAAAAGGCCAAAAGAGAGCTGGGGAACTGTTCTAGAATAAACTAAATAGACTAAAGAGGTGAAGAGATCAGAATTAAATGCAATGTGACCCCAGACGGATCCTCCAACAACAGGAAGATATATGATAAACAACAGAATTTGGATATATGGGAAATCTGGATATGGGCTGTACATTAGGCCAAGAGTAAACCAGCAAGTGGACTGGATTTGGTACCCAGGCTGTAGACTACCTATCCACACATTAGATGATATTGTAATCCAGCTAAATTTTCTGGTAGTGATAACTACACTGTGGGAATGCAAATGAATAGTCTCAGCCTTCAGAGACACATGCAAAAAAGTTAGGGGTGAAGTGTTACAACATCTGTATCTAATTCTGAAATGGTTCCACATGGAGAGGGAGACAGAGGGACAGTGAACGTGGCATGCAAACCATTTGTGAGTCTAAATAAAGAGACTCTGGATCTTTATCACGGAATTTTTGCAACATTTATGAGGGTTTAAATTTTTCAAGATAAAAAGCTGAAGCAAGAGGAATGCCTTCAACGGTGGGGATTATGTTTCCCCGCGATGTGGCTGTCATCAGCGGAATTAACCTCTCATCAGCCTGCCTGCCTCTCCACCCTGAGCCCCAGACAACATGCAAACAGGGGGCACAGCTCCCTCGGCAACACCACCCCGTCCCCAGCAGCAGGAGCGGCTGCGGGGCAGACAGGGTCCACCCGCAGGCGGCTCGCATTCCCCCTGCTGACCTCTGGCCCAAGCATTGCCGCGGGGTCTGTGATGGTGGACATGACCTCGTGGATTAACTCCAGTGGGATATCGCCCATCACCCGGGGCTTCTTGGTCTCCTCCAAAATATGAGAGTCGTTCATTTTCCTCTTTTCTCCTTGATGATCAAAATAAAAGGGCAAACGATGGGTTATTTTAAACACAAAGCATGTGCCAACTAATCCAACTGATTTTCTAATAACACTGACAGGTGTGAACATCAACCCTCCGTGTACCAGGGAGGAGCGGTGCAGCAGAAGGTGGGAAAGAGGAGGTCGCAGTAACTGCCCACTGTTCTTTTTCTTTTCTACTTTACTTATTTATTGGCTGGGCAGCATGTGGGATTTCCTTGAGCAGGGACTGAATCTCTGCCCCCTGCACTGGGACAGAGTCTTAACTGCTGGCCCACCAGGGAGTCCCCCAAGTGCCCACCATTCTAAAGAGCATTTGCTCTCTGCACTAAGTTTTTTAACTTGACATGTGAGTTATTAAGGCACTGCTCCTTCATGTGCATATTGAGGGGGGAGTCTAATTATCACTGGTTATTAACCTCCATGTTGGAGATTAATTGTCCCTTTGTGGTCAGAAGAATATGGCCCTTAAGATACCAAAGGTCAAAATTTCTTGAAACTTGAGTTATGACCTAAAACTTGACCAATTATTTGTAAATTAAGCATCTTCTTGGAAAGAATGTACACATTCGGGAAAATACATTTCCCGATTTTCAGTGCTCTCTATGTGTTGATTGTGTTTGTGGGGCTTCTGTCCTTACTGATAGCTTTGTCTGTTTGATCTATGAATTAATCAGAGCTGTTTCTTCAAGTATTCAACTTCTGGTTGATTTGATCATTTCTCCTTATAGTTAAGTCTTTCTTTCATATATGTTTGCATGGACATATGTATATATACATCTGTGGATGAATGTTATATATGTGTGTGTATGGCTACCTATACTGGAAATACACTCATGAACTGTTTCACTTTGCTGGTGAATTTAGTTTTTGTCATTACAAAATGACCCTCATGATCTCTCACAATCCTTTTTTTGCCTTAAAGTGATGCCTCACAAAGTGAGCAGGGCCCCTGGCCTTGGAAGTAGGTACATTCATTCCCAGGATGTCCTAATATATCACAGCTTGGAAAAGGCCAGGCAAAATCACGGAGAACTCTCCCCGATTTTCCTCCTTAGATTACATGGCCGCTTTCTGTCCTACTATCATGTTTGGTTTTTCTTTTTCTTTTTTTTCCTTCTGTCATAACGTATTTATTTTCACAATTAAATTTTTCAGTGCTCAAACCCAGCTGATTCCTCGGCTGTGGATCCCCGTAAGCAGGCTCCATAAGGCAGTCACGCCATCCTGAGCTAAACAGCAGCAGCGATGTCGAGCACCTCGTCCACACAAGATGCTTTTCCAAATGTGAGGCAACTTACTAAACAGCTTTTGTTGAGTTGTATTTTTATAACTCTTTAGTTGTTATTATTGGAGGTGAGTGAGAATATTTTCCTTCATTTGATCAACTCTTCAAATCCCACAATTCCACAAGCATAATGGTGTGAACTATTTATTTTGGAGCTGAGGTTTATACCCAATATGCCCCAAACTGGATAGCTTGCTGAGTGCTGCAATAAGAAAGCACCCTGGGCTATATCTGAATTCAACGGCAGAGTTTCCAGAATAGTCAGTAGCGCCTCCCCCGGAAGTGGCCCAGTGCTGCACGCTTCGTCCTTCACAGAAAACCCTCTCCTCTCCCCATCTCACGGGGCTTCTCAGTGTCAAGCTTCACTCGTGCTGAGATGTGTCTAACGTCATGGCTGTGGACACAAACGCGGCCTTCGGAACATTCTATAACTGCGAAACGCCTCTAGCATTAAGAGATTTTTTTGCTACGTGGCAGATTACATTCATGGCCAAATTCTTTCCCCTGCTGTACCCAGCTTCTGCCAAATGAGTCTGTGGCTCTTCCTACAAAAGGCGTAAAGGGCATCTCCCAACCCCTTGATTCTGAGTCTGACCCCGTGATTCGCTTCCAATGATAAAATAAGACTAGGCGTCATGGTGTACCAGCTATGAGCTTAAGCTGCAGGAAGCTGCATTTCTTCCTGCTCTCTGGTGTCTCTGCCATCATCATAAGGACGCATTCTGCCCCAAGGAAAGGAAAAATCCAGTGGTCCTCAAAGGAGGATGAGAATTATGCGAGCATAGCCTGAAGGAGACGAGCCATATCAGCCACCTCTAGGCAGCACACAGAATGAGTGAGCTATGATAATAAAGGATCACAATTTGAGACTCTGCGTCTCAAGTTGGTTTGTGAAATAGCAATAACTAACCAACGCAGCTCAGAGGGAGTTCCAGCCATTAAGATCCTTGACACGCTCAGCACGCAGTTGCTTTAAGGCTCCCTTTCACACTCCTCAGATAACGGAGCTTCTCAGACGAATCACAGTCCTCGCTGATGCCCTCCGAGCTTACCTGGGTTTGTCTCAAGCCCGGACACGCCTCGACAGGATGGGCTGGTGCTCCCTCCATTCTGCTGCTCAAGGGAAGTGGAGCTGGAATTGTAGGACACTGTCCCGGCCACGGGAGGTGGACTGATAACTGCCCCCGGGAGAAGGAAGAGAAGGCATTAAATGACGTCTTTCTTGGGTAGTAATGAACCAAGTGCACGAGAGACCATTCCACTCCTGTCCAGCACCCCGAAGCAGTCATCTTTAAGACAGACGCTACGGGGCCAATGTGAGCTTGATAATAAAGACAAGGGCAGATTATAACCCACTGGATAAAATAAAGATATCTGAGTCCACAGTGATAATAATATAAGAAATGAACAAATAAATAATTGGGAGAAGGTAAAACTCTCCTTAAAGGAGAATGCCAACAAATAAGGAAGCAATGATGAAAGTTGTGGGGCAGCGGGCAGTTAGGGAGCAGCCAGCACATAATGACTGATTCAGGGAAGAAGCATCTGTACAGACCGAATCTTGTGACTGTAATTTTGATAAAGATAGAATAGCCTCAAAGTATCTCCCCACAAAAGTACCTTTTTCTTTTTAAATTACCAAAGCAGAAAAGTTAACACTGCTGTGGAGAAATCTCAAAAACCCCACCTTAATCCAGTGACAAACTTCACACCAGTGATAATGGGAGAAGCCAACATTACATGCCTCCTGATGTGACAGAAAATGGCTGTGAACCGCATGGCTGAGATAAGAGGAAGGATGAAAACCAGAAGCCAGATTAAGGAATAATATGGCATCAAGGTTAAAATTCCTCACTGTGATAACTTTGCTGGGGTTAAATACGAAAACCCTCTTGCTCTTAGGAGATTCCCACTCAAGTCAGCAAAGGGGCGTGACCTTTGTAACCGACAGACCGTTCAGAAGACAGAAAGGTACACACACGTTAATAAACATGGAGAGAGACAGAAGCAGGAGAAACGATGGCGCAACAGGGCAAACGTTAACAATTGCTGAGTCTGGAACAGAAAATACACAGCACGGGATGGCTTTTTCCTGGTCCTGTAACTTTTCTGTAAGTTCAAGAGTGTCTCCAAACAAAACCATTTTGTTTTGCCTTTACAGAAAAAGAAAAAGCCAAGGTAGGAAGTAGGACGTTGTTTGCTCGTGCGTGGCTGATGGCAGGACAGACGTCAGCGACACCGCACACAGACCTCGCAGACAAGACGCCCCAGAGCACGCCATCTCGGTGCGGGGACGCCCCCGCAGCCAAGAGTGGTGAAAGAAGCAAAACTAGCTACAGAGACACGGGCACACAGCTCCTAACTGAACAGCAACCGGTATGTAAAGAAGTGGAATATACTGATCGACAATGTGTGTTAGCTTCAGGTACAGATCAAGGTGAATCCGTTAGACATTTACATACATCCACTCTTTTTTACATTCTTTTCTCATACAGGCCATCAACAATAAGTGTTAAAAAGAAAACTAGCCATATATAGGTGAGAATTCCTCAGATGCACGCACACGAAGGAATCAGAAGAGATGGAAGCACCAGGCTGCAGGCCTTTCGTTCTAGCAAACAGGCCTCCTGAATTTCAGAGCTTCCACACAAAGAGGAAGCTCTGGTGACTCACAAGACATCTGAGAACCTCGCCAAAGTTCAGAGCCGTCATTGTGACTGTCACTTCTCACAGGTGCCTGGGTGTGCAGACATGCCAATTAAGGAGAAGATTACCCTTTTCTTTCCCCCCAGAGCACACACTGCAATTACAGCCGAACAGAAGTCGGCCGGCTTCTGATGGCAGCAGGGACTGATGAGTGCGCTCCAGCTGAGCTGGGTGACAGCCGGAGCCACTGGGGTGAACCTGACGTCCCAGGGGCCAGAGACAGCCGCCTGCTCCACGCTGTGCGGGGACGGGCAAGTCTCGGTGAGCGGGGCAGGCCAGGAGGCGTCCTGAGCAGGAGGGCCGGGGAAGTCTTCACAAAGAGGGACCCCCTCCAACCCTCCAGTGGAGAGCTAGCTGGACCTGCCTGGAGCCAGGACCGGGTCCCCGCCCGATCATTCCTCTTCCCTCCCACAAACGTCTGCCTGTGCATCTGCGAGGTACACGGGGGTGCAGCGGGAGTCAGACGCAGTGGGGCACCCAGTCCTGTCACTCGGAAAGCTCTGCTTTTGGGCGCCTGGCTGCTCCTCTCTGAGCTCCCATGTCTCATCCACACACACAGGTTAATCACACCAACTTCTCCTGGTTCTAGCTAGAGCTTAAAGACCCGAAGCAAACCTCACCAGCCAGCACTCACTGGAAGTGTGAGCTATTCTCATGGATAAACTGGGTGACCAGGTAGGCGTCACACTCACCAAAAGGGGCCTGGGGTAGCGTGGTGACTGCCGAGGGCAGCAGGCATCAGGCTGATGCCCATCAGACCCTCCAGGAGCTTTAACATGCCGAAGGCCACGCACGCCCTTGGTCACTTACGCCACAGCCTCTTGGCCGGGGCCTCGGGATCAGTAGGTTTTTTATTTTTTTTAGTAGTATTTATGCATCTGGATTGTGGGGCCTTTAGCTGCAGCCTGCAAACTCTTCGTGGTGGCATGTGAGATCCAGTTCGCTGGCCAGGGAGGGAAGCTGGGCCCCTGACGGGGAGTGAGGAGCCTGAGCCGCTGGACCACAGGGAAGCCCCAGCCATCAGCAGTATTTTAGATCCCGTGAGCGGTGCCACCGAGCAGACAAGCTAAAGAACCGGGGATAGGATATTATCCAGGTTCCAGGTTTGGAAGAAAGGAGACCCAGCTCTTGCCGGGAGGCATGGAGAGAATTAGAAAAGGGTTTGGGGGAGAGATGTCATCCAAAAGTCAGGTAAGTTAAAGGCGGAGACAAAGCCAACAGCACGAGGGCAGAGCCGGACGCAGCAGGAGCCCAGGGGCGCGGGGAGCGCTCCGGGAAGGGTCAACACGTGGGCTGGAGTCCTGTCCACACAGACAGGCCCCGGAGGGCTGCAGACTGTGAGCCAGAGAAGCGTGGGATTTTATTTTATGGCCTAAGGTGAAAAAACACAACACAAAAGGTGTCTTTGACACGGTTTTGGGAACAAGAATCCAAAGAAAGAAGGTTTGATACGAACCAAAATACCTCATTCCCTAAGTATTCTGCTGGGTAGGATTTAATTTTATTCACATCCAAACTCAGGCTCCAGATGAAATAGCATTTTAATCACCTTCTCCAGTGCCGTATGCTCAGTGAAAGAAGCCAGAGTCGGACGTTACGTGCTGTGTGATCCCACTCGTGTGGCATTCTAGAAAAGCACAACTACGGGAACAAAGGACGGGCCGGAGGCGGGCCGCCAGGGCCGAGCTCAGTGCCGAGCACGCCGCAGGGAACTTTCTGGGCCGACGGCCATGGGGTGATACAGCACTGGGCGTTCGCCAGAATCCACAGGACCGCACACTAGGGGTGGCTAAGGGTGACTTTCGCTGGATATAAAATCAAACCGGGGGAGGTGTCGAGAACGGCGGAAACAAACAACCTTTGCTGCAGGCGGCACTCACAGTTCCCAGGACACACTGAGCCAGATCTACTGAAAAGGCGACACCAAAATTCCGCGTTCTGCCTCTCCCCGCGGCCACGCGGAAATGCCTGCTCTGGGACCTCCTGACAGCCTTCTCCGAGGCTCTGAGCATCCAAGGCAGGAGTTCAGACCCTGGCTCCAGAGTCAGTGTGACTCCAAGTCACACGTCCTCACCAAAGGCCCGCTGAGGCCCTGAGCCCACGGGGGACTGCACGTCCTGAGACTCCCCACCATTACCCAAGAGCAGCCTGATGCTCCAAACAGACGTCCAGGCTCACAAGCCAGACTGAGACGTGCCTGCAAAGCAGGCCATGACCAAGACTCTGTCTTTAAACAGTCGGCGTCTGCCTGCAGACCTGAGCACCGGGTGCTTCGCCCTCCGCACAGCTGTGCAGGGCAGACTGAGCAAACCTTGGGGCAGAGCAGCAGCTGCTGCGGTCTTAGCTGTCTGCCTTGCACCTGCCCGCCTCAATAGAGATGTTGATGCCAGGTTTGCCAAAGTGTTTACTTTTCTTTGCTGACTCTAGTCTTCAATTTCTTGATGAAAAATGCAAATAAATGCACAGTGAACTGCAACAAACACTTCCTGGTTGTGTTTTTTTTTTTTTTTTTACCTGTTTGGATTCCAAGCTGGCTGGTTCTGGAAGAAGCTGAGAGAAAATCCTGATCCCAGATGGGAGAGTTTTGACTATAAACTTCTTCTTCTAACATGGACAGAAACCTAGGCACAAGAATAAAGGCAAGAGTGAGATCACAAGTCATGCATTACGAGGACCCATGGCAATCCCACCAACACTAGCATCTCATCCTCAATTCAGAAATATGAAATACTCAAGTCAGTAAATCATCAGGTGATGATTCAGTTGGGCGGCCTTGGTATATTCAAATAGAAACGCATTTCTACAAACGTATTCTCTTTGGACTCCATGTAGGTATTAGTAGATACAACCTAAACCACACAGAGAATGACATCAGTGGAAATGCATTTCACCAAGTCCCCCTGGGAGAGTCCTGGAACAAGAGCTCATCTCTCCTTAGAGCTGTTGTCGTCATTTCCATCACAAAAGCTGCTCATATTTACTGAGTCCTTGTCACGTGCCTACACTGTGCTGAGAACGTTTCATTGAATCTTCTCATCAACACAATGAGTTACAGATTTTGTTTTTATTTATCACACACATGTACACATAGCTCTTACTATAGGATGGACACTGTTCTAAGCAGTCGACATATATTAACTCACTCGCTCTTCTGAATAACCTTGAGATAGGATCCATTACTGTACTCATTTCACAGATGAAAATAACTTAGGGCACAGGCAGGTTCAATAACTGGTACAAAGGCCCACAACCAGTAAACTGCAGGGCCAAGACTAATTACCATGTTATATTTCCAGCCATGTTATAAAACAAGCAGGTCTCAAGTTTTGGGGCCACGGAAATCACCTGCACACCGTGGCTGGAATGCAGACACCCAAGCCCCACCCAGGCTCACTGAAGTGCAGCCTGTGAGAAAGGTCCAGGCAACAGAATGCTGGTAAGTACCTTGGACAGTTCTTGTGTTTTCCCCCCAAATGCAAAAGACTGTGAGTAAAATACCAACCCAAATCTATACTTCTGGTATTGGAAAGCCTTCCTGCAAACCTTTCAGGCACATTCATTCTCATGGAGGAATATAGAATAACGGCTAAGAGCCTGGGGTCTAAAACCCAGTTACCACTTATTATTTCTGTGACCTTGGGACAAATTCCTAGCTTTCCTCTTCCTCGGTTCCCCTTTTATAAAATGGAGACATCAACAGTAACTTCTGCACACAGTGGTGTCAAAGACTATACACTGTCATGCTGCAACTGGTGCCGACCGCTGAGAAAGTGCTCCTTCGTTCACTCAACCAACACTGGCTGCCCGCCACACGCCAGGTGCCACACCAGGCCCTGGAGGGCCGAGTGAGCACAGCCTTGCCTTACCTTCAAGACGTTTATATTGCAGCGATGTGAAAAGTTAGCAATTAAATGTCTCTGAAATTTTTAACTCCAAAAACCCTTTTAAAAGTATTTTCCCTAATCCATTTGGCAACAAAATCTTACCTGAACATATGCAGGATTATTTACAGTCTTTATAAATATAAATGGATTTGCTTCGGGGGACCTGCCCCCACCCCAAAGCTATGATATACAGTCTATGTGTTCTGTTACCTTTATAAAGCAGTCAAGTTTACCTTAAAGCTTGAATTGTGAAACATACCAAGTTTGGGTCACTGATTAAGGACTTATATTAACATTAACACCATCGTCATCACAATTAGGGAAAGTACCACTAATCTCATTAATCAAAGCCTGGAAGACTGCAGAAGGGCAGGGAGAGGTCGGGCGGTGCAGACAGGCGGGGAAGGCCCTGCGGGTCTCTGGACTGGCCTCTCACACTCAAACATTTAAGAACAAGGAACCACTGCATGAACTTCGACCTGCACTCAGCCATGAGGTGCACGGTTTAAAGAAACAGCACGGGCCACTTTTTGCCGAGCTAGTCACCATTAACTTACACTTCAAAACACTTCAGTATGTCTCTCATCTAACACAGAAAGACTAACAGCAGCGGGAGGCAAAATCCTTACTGAGATCACAGTTTGACCTTGCTGAGGAGAAGGGAGGTTCCTGATGCATCTCCTCCTTTGGCCCAGCAGACCCTGCCTTCACCTCGCCCAGCCCTCAAGATTTCCCAACCGCCCCTCATCACAGAAGTAAATTTCCTTTCCTTTCCCAGGCTCCTACTTTACGAGCAATTACATAATAGAACACTTCATGAAGCCCTACGGAGACTTACCAAAGAAGAATGCCACTAATAATTTAGGAAAATAGTCATGTGTGTGCTATATATATATATATATATATATATATATATAATTATTTCAATACAATAAAAGACAGTCTCATCTAATGTCATGAGAAAGTGCTTATTATGTATACAGGGGTTACAAAATTGAACACAGAATAAAAGAACACAATACATGGAGGAAAAAATAAGAAATATCTAAAAGCACAAAAAGTAGATCACAACGGTAGGGCTATAGCAGTCCTTTGCCTCTTTGTTCTCTCTGAATCAGATCTTCACCAAATGTCCCTCTGTCACTTTTACAATGAAATGCAGATACTGAAGTTCTAAAGGACACCTGTGTGACTCGGTGGGTGTGGGGATGGCACAGAGGAAGGCCAAGCAGGAGGAAGGGCTGGAGTCCCTGCAGACGCAGAGGCTGGGGCTGCACCTCTGCAGGGGCCTGGGTTCAATGCCCGGCTAGGGAACCAGGACCCAGCGCCCAGCAGCACAGCCAGAAAAAAGAAGGAAGGGCGGCGTAGGAAGTGCAGGAAAGTAAGTGTGCAAGACCTGAAGACACCCAGGAAGCGCGGGGGCCCCATGGGGTCAGAGGAATCCACAGCCTGCCTCTGAGCCAGGCCCCAGCTCCAAAGGGCACCTCTGGCTTCAGTATGCGAGATTCCGCTGCCAAGCCTGCAGGTATGAATCCCTAACAGCCTCCAGTGTTGTCATATTCAATGGAAAGGGACTGAAAGGAGAAGTGGGTGGTTGCTTTACCCTGCCATTAGTAACAGAGAAGGAAAGAAAGCGGCACTGATTTTCTCAGTTAAGCAGCTTAAGCATGCCAGAACTACGGGCTGAAGGAACAAACACTGTAATTAGCAAATATCTCCAAGAAGGAAAATGAGTTTGCTATGGGAAAAAACCTGCTCCTATGCAAGATAATTAAAATCTCTCATTAAGCACCATAAAAGGTGTGACGAGGGAGGGGTCCTCTGTCTGCCGGCTTAGAGGCAGGAGACAACTATAACCTGAACACACGAAACATGGCTTATGCGGCAGATGTAACAGAGAAACAAGAAAACTACATTAATCTCTAAGGAAAGGAGCTTAGATCAGTTAACAGGCAGCCGCTGAAATACACCAACACCAGAGTTCCTAACCTCTTCAGGAACGACACCCGAGCTGCTGTTTAGGTCCTTCTGGACGTTCCTCCCTGCAGGACGCCAAGTGTTCGGGCCCTGCCTCATCCTGGGTTGTCGCCGTCTTCGGGAAATGCTGCAAATCAGGTCACTAGGACTCATGTTCAGCTAAAACTCATGAGAATTATCCTCTAACTAACACTGGAGATTCATGCTAAACTGTAAGAACAAATTGTTCCGTCCGTTTTCATCAGAAAATCATTTTTGTTGCTGTTTTGGACCTAACTTATCTTTAAAAATTAAAATGATTATGTTTCCTGAGACACACATTGGGTAACCCAGAAATAGTAGCGATTATAAAAATCTAGTATTTCGGATAAAACAGGATTCCATCCATCTTGGTTCTAGGAGCATAACAGCACCTCTCCTAAACTGCTCTCTGCCTCACAGCTGTCTGGCAGAACTCTCTCAGACCTAGAAAGCCTGTTCAAATGACAGCTTCCACCCACGCTGGACCAGCGCGGCTGCCGGAGGGAGTGAGCAGGAGGAATCAGCTCCGCCCCGTCTCGCCGCACAGCGCTGAGGAGTCACCTGCCAGCCAGTCACCTGCCACCCTCAGCTGCCAGCCACTTACATTAAAGTCTGCGTTCTTCACAGTGAAAACCCATTCCAAGCCCAGTGGCATTCACTGTACCTTCCTACCCCCCTGACCTATTTCCTACATTTGGAAAATATTTAAGTGAGTCTTCACACGCTTGAGGTCTAGCAGGTTCAAGCAGCAAGGGGCCAAGGGCACGCGTGTGCCTGGGAAGCTGAGTACAGAGGCACAAAGATCCTCCTGCCAGAGATCCGTCTATTCCAGGCCGGCTCCCAGCCTCGGAGTCCAGTTCGTTCCAGCTGAGACAGGGATGACCCGCTGGCCACAGGAAGGGCAGGAGAACTGGGTGCCTGAATCAGCCCTGGGCTCTCCTGCACCACCTCTTGGAGACCACTTCTGCAGGGTCCCCACTGCCCTGGAGCAGCCTGGAGCTGCTCCACACACAGACCTGGCCTGTCCTCTGAGAATCGGGAGGGATAAGACAGGCCAAGGGAACAGTCGACCCAAAGTCAAGCTCATTTCAGATGGGCTGGAAACACCCATGAGGCTCCCAGGGGGGCTGCGAAGATGGGTGTCCTGCCACGACCCCCCCCCAGTTCTGTCCCCGAGGCTTCAGTTGCACCCGTCCATCTCAAGCGTGGCACCGCGCAAAGACCCCACGAGCCCTCCCTTACTTCGGGAAGTGCGTGAGGATCAGAGTCCGCTTCTCCAGCGGGAGTTTGTCCTTCTCCTGCCTCGCCTGCTCCAGCAGCTGCCGCCGCATAACAGTGAAGACGGAGCGCAGCAGCGTCCTCCCGAACACCTGGGCCGTCTCGTACCGCGGCAGGCTGTCGCAGAACTGGGGCACGTTGCAGTAACAGAGCCACCTGCACGGAGGAGACCACAGCATCAGCGCCCGCGAGCCCCGCCACGAGGAGCACACGCGACGCAACTCGACACCAGCACCCTCAGCGTGAGACCAGGCCTGCAGACACGCCGGGGAGGCACCGTCAGCGGGTCAGATGCTGGCTCACCCTGCCAGAGCCCTTGGGCCCAACTCTACTAGTCACTCCAGTCTGCAGCATCCTTTAAACAGGAGGATGGATTCAAGGGGAACAGAGGACATCCCTTTTGGAGGAGAAGCAGAACTCCCCCACTGAACCCTCTGAATAAAACTTAAGACTGCTTTAAAATGCCTACACAGCACTCACACCCCCCACAGCTTCAGTGAGAAGATAAAGATCTCCACGACTGCTCAAAACTCAGTTAAAACGCAGGAAGTAATAAGCTTCCACCATCTGTCACCTAGGTACATGTTCAGTGACTCAAAGTCAAAACTGTTTCTCGGTGTCGCGTGGGGCTGGAGGGGTGCCGGGCCCGAGGGAAACCAGGCCTTTCCTGAGCACAGTGTGGGGCACAGGGCTGATGCAGGGCAGATTCAGGAGGCCGCTTTAGCCGAGAAGCTGAAAACAAACATTCATCAGCCACCACCTGCTCCAGGGCCTCCCGGAGATGCAAGGCCTGAAATTCCCAGCAGTAGGGACAGGGGGCCCAGCGGGCGGCAGAGACCAGGAAGAGACCTGGCTTCAGTGCCCAAGTTCTGCTCCTCAGAGGCAGACGCAGCTGCCCCTCATCAGGGAGGGACCCCACTCCCCAGACAGAACCCTAACCCCGCTGGGGACCCCTCTCCCCCAGAGAGGACCATCTGCCCCGCCCAGGACCCCTCTCCCCCAGACAGGACTCTCTGCCCCGCCGGGGACCCCTCTCCCCGGATGGAACCCTCTACCCTACCAGGCGCCTTTGGCACCCTTTCAGGAGGGGGCCGAGCTCCCACACGCCCAGACAGCTGGAGGAGACCTGATGACAGTCAGTCCTCAATAAAGAGTGGAGTAATGTCCACTTACTCAGGCTGTCTGACTTATTCTTTATGTTACTCTGTATTAGCTCCCCTATGTGGGGTGGGGCCGCTTCATCTTTGGGGAAGAAAACCTTCATTAGTGTTAGTTCATCTACCTAGATTCAAAATTAACCTTAAAACCCTGCTACTATTTCTGTTCCTCTCAACTTTCCTGTCCTAATAATTCACACGCAAATGTCACTCTATGATACAATACCCAGATGGGCATCCTAAGTGCCGTCCTGTATCCTGTCAAGTTGAAAACAGTGACCTTGGTAGCAGAAGAAACTAAAGGATGCATTTATTTTGTAATTTATAAGGCACGTCAGATAGAAATTCATCAACTTCAAAGCTAGTCTTTGCTGGAAGTTAGTCCATGGCCACTTAATGAAGTTAAAATATTTGGAGTTGAAGGAAGGCCAGCTTCCAGGGAACCAATTATGAAAGTACACACGTAATCACAAACCATAACCATCAGATCAATTTCATGAGACTGTAAATCTTAATAAAAATATGTCCAATGTGGTACAATGGGAGATATAAGGATTTAAGGATTTGGTAATCGTGTTTGTTTTCCTGAAGAGACTGATTCCAGGAAAGACTGAAGGCAGGAGGAGAAGGGGACGACAGAGAACAAGGCGGCTGGATGGACCGACTCCATGGACGTGAGTCTGAGCAAACTCCGGGAGACGGTGAAGGACAGGGAAGCCTGGCGCGCTGCAGTCCATGGGGTCACAAAGAGTCAGACAGGACTGAGCGACCGAACAACAAATTTTAATCAATTTAAAATTTACTTTCAACCAACAAGGGCCTACTGTATAGCACGGTGAACTACCCTATGATAAACCATAATGCAAAAGACTCTGAAAAAGAATAGATTTATATTCTTTTAATATATATCTATGTACAGTTGCTTCAGTTGTATCTGACTCTTCGTGACCTCATGGGTTGTAGCCTGCCAGGCTCCTCTGTCCACGGGATTCCCCAGGCAAGAATACTGATGTGGGTTGCCATTTCCTTCTCCAGGCGATCTTCTTGTCCCAGGGATTGAACCTGCATCTCTTACATCTCCTGCATTGGCAGGCGGGTTCTTTACCACACACACACATATGTCTGTATTGTTCTGCTGTATGCCTGAAACCATTGTAACTCAACTACACTGAAATTTTAACATAAAAAGAGGAAAAAATATTTTAAAATTTACTTTCAAATGGAAACCCTAAGAAATACTTTTTCGTTTAACTCAACTTTACTGTTTTGGTAGAACTCCATTTAGCTTTAACCACTTAAAATGTAATGAATAAATTAAAATATGCTGTAATTATAAAGCCCCCACATTGGATTTGGAAGATTTAGTATAAAGAAAAGTAAAAGACATCATTAATAATTGCTCATATTGATTCCATGTTAAGTGATAACATTTTTATACAATGGGTCAAATAAAACACTATTAATATTAATGTCCTATCTTTTTAAATGTAGTTACTAGAAAATGTCAAATTACAGCTGTGGCTCACATTTGTGGATCATGTTATATTCTATTTGGCAGTGCTGATTTTCAGTCTGAAGAGCATTCCTATCTATGGAGGTCACATATGTCTGAGACTCTACTGAAGATAGATGCTATTTCTGCTACAACAATGATAGTGATAAATATTATAAAATCATAAAATGTTATCCAAAGTGCTTAACACATCATTCACTCTCCACAGGGCAGAGGAAGGCAATGTAGATTAATATTATCTAGTCAAAATCTTCAAACAAAAGGTTTCCACTTATTTCCTCTGAAAATCACTTTATAGTACTTAAGTTTATACTTTTTTAGTTTAGTTCTGGTTTTGCTTCCAAAACTAATCTTATAAATTCTAAGGGCACTGTATGAAAAGACAGGAGATGAGTCAACACGTTCTGGGCGTTTTGGGTATTATAGCGATTGACACAGTCTGGGCATGCGGTGAGACAGAAGGAAACAGGAACGGATGTGTATCTTGCTACTCAGATGTTCCTCTAAACACTAACCTGGAAAACAAGGGTGTACCTAAACCTCTGGTTTCAGGTCTCCTCAAAAGAAGTGAAAAGACGGTTTAGTCACTTTTGTATGCCTAACAGAGATGGCATGGTGTGCAAGTCACTGACTGTTCAAACAACTCTCAGATATTCATAGCACTGGGATTACTTGCAGTGACCTTGCTTTCTTTAAAACGTGAGTAGAGCTGGAGGACTTGAGTGATGAAGGCCATGTCACCTACCACCTGCTGGACAGAAAGTCCTAAAGCTTTCAGGAATTAAATGACCCTCCAGGTTTTCCTGCACTAAAGGCTAGTTACTTTCAGAGTCCAGACTAGAAGCTGGGTCTCTAAAGCCCCATCCCACTGTTCCTCCCCAAATCCGTGAGAAATACCATCCTGGGATGACACGCCTAATGATGAACATTCAGGAAGCCTGGCGATGGGTCTATACCTCACAGTGCAACAGTTACAGGAAACTTTCACCAGAATTAATTTAGTTACATCTCATTTGCTTGCATTCTTACAAAACATCTCCCCAAGATAAGCGTAACTTCTAATTTTGAGATGTTCTGCACAGTTCAGAATCTAAGACTAATAATTTGCCACGTTCCTTTAGCATGGGCATCCCTGGGGGCTCAGATGGTAGAGAGTCTGCCTGCAGTGCAGAAGACCCGGATTTGATCCCTGGGTCGGGAAGGTCCCCAGGAGAAGGAAATGGCAACCCACCCCAGTATTCTTGCCTGGGAAATCCCATGGACAGAGGAGCCATGTAGGCTACAGTCCATGGGGTCACAAAGAGTCAGACACGACTGAGCAACTTACACTTTGACTTTGGCATATTCTGTTGGTCAGATGTATTTTAAGAGGTCATATTCCTCTGACACTTTTCCAGCTATTTTCTCATGGAATATTATATTGGCACACCATCAGAAAATTCAGGGAATTTCAAAATATTTGTCTAGGTCTGTCTCTAAAACCAGTGACTTCTGGGGGACATAAAAGGTATATTTAATATAAACTCATATAGATTATTAAGGTTAAGTATATGTTAACATTAATATACCAGATTTTTCAACATATAAAATACTTAAATCTTGCCCACTTCAGAACATAGAGTGTAAGTAATGTAAGCAGTCCTGCTGTTCAGCAAGCGCTTACTCTTTCATGGGATAAGTCCTCTCGTAATAAGGAACACAATCACTTTCGGAGTCAGTCCTGTTCCCCGAGGATCCTGTCTCTCCCACCTCCGTGCTGTGATTCCAGAATCTTCCCAAAGGACCAGACCGCGCAGGCACGCTGAGCCAACAGTCCATGGCCCCGACTCCCGCCATCCCCACGGGCCGCGGTGCCCGCAGGGTTAACAGTGCTGCGTTTGAGAAGCAGCATCAGTGAGGAGGGTGGTGTGAGCTTTCCTCGGTTCTCAAGCAGTCAGGACCATGAGGTCTGACTCTATGCGAGGCAAGCATCTCTCAGCGTTCACGGGTTGGCCTTCTCTGCTCTTCATCCGCAGGCCTGGTTGGAGGAGGAGCTCCCCTATTATTACCACCCACTGAGGCTGCGGGGCTCGCCCATCCAGGGCTCAGCAGGTCACTGCCTCCAGCACAGGCCGCTCCCCTCGAGGCATCCTCCGCCCCCAGGGAGGCTGGCCCCGGACCCTGCTGGGCTCTGGGCCGTCACCGCCCTTCCTTCAGTGACCCCAGAGCCTAAGCTCTCCTCTCCCAACGCACGCTGGTCGGCGGTGACTGAGGCTCCAAGGAAAAGCACCAGGGGCATCTGAGCATCTCCCCAGGGTGCGGGGCGGGGACGGGGACGGGCCCGTGGTTCAAGCCCACCACTCCTTCCACAAGGAGGCGTCACGTTTACGACTCCCCAAGGCTTTGCAAGTGCTGCCCAGTATTGGTAATTCCCACGTGCTACAAACTATTTTCACTGTTTTCTAAAATACAGCATTAACTCCTGTGCCGCTCACAATGAATTCTCTCCTTGATTACACAATCTTTCCTCTCTTAGAGTGGCAAGTATTCCAGGGGTTTGGCTTTGACAAATACTCAGTTTTGTCAACTGTTCACAGATGGAGTTAAAAGATATGGGCCTTCCCCACTGGCCCAATGGTTAGGTCCCTGCTCTCCCACTGCAGAGGGGCTCAGGTCTGCTCCCTGGTCAGGAAATTAAGATCCACCATGCCTTATTGTTCATACAACAAATAAAGTAAAATAAAACTTGTTAAACTATATATACATATATATATATATCAACTCATTATAAACAAGGGTTACAATAATATAGGAACTACTCTGAAATGAAGATGTAAAAATAAAGGTATCATTTTTAAAGTGGATTATGAAGCAATCTGTAAATCCTATTTACACTTATTAAGATAAAATATTTTATAATTCAAATTGTATATATTGTAAAAGGCTGGATGAGAGGCAAAAACTTGGATGTTACTCATAAAATCAGGTCAGTGATTAGACAGGAAAGTTTAGCTTTAACTCCACCCATTTCTACTTGTCATCTGCGGTTAAAACTGGGTACAAGTGGTCTTTACAGGTTGCCAAAAAACATTGCTTATTTTAACTCAAGAGGAAAAAAAGGCTAAAAACAAAAAACCCTGAAGCAAGCTTGATATGCCTATTAAATACAAATGGGAAAAGTTATAAAAAGGTGAATAAAATGGATGGTACAAGTCACTCTCTTCCTTAAAGATAAATATGTCACACTATTTTGTATGGTCCACATTTATGAGTCTTAAATCATAAACTCAATTTTATTATCCTGCAAATCATAGGTAATAAAAATAAATTCCCATTTTAGAAAAAATGTAATCCAAGAATATGTGCAGAGTTTGATGCCCACCAACAGAGAAAAGATTAGGTAAATCACTGTGCATCAACAGACAATAATGTAACCAGTAAAATGTTTAAACGGGGCAGGGTGGACAAAGAAGATGCAAATGCTCTCTTTTCTTTCATTCTAACAAATGTAGAATGTGTATTTAAAGAGACAAAGGCTGTAAGACCACGTATATAACACTATTATATTTACACCACAGTGCTGAGACTATGATGGCCTTCCCTTCTTTGGAGAAGACTCTTGAGAGTCCTTGGACTGCAAGGAGATCCAACCAGTCTATCCTAAAGGCGATCAGTCCTAGGTGTTCATTGGAAAGACTGATGGTGAAGCTGAAACTTCAGTATACTTTGGCCACCTGATGTGAAGAACTGACTCACTAGAAAAGACCCTGATGCTAGGAAAGAATGAAGGCAGGGGAGAAGGGGGCGACAGAGGATGAGATGGTTGGATGGCATCACCAACTCAATGGACATGAGTCTGAGCAAGCTCCGGGAGTTGGTGAAGGACAGGGAGGCCTGGCGTGCTGCAGTCCGTGGGGTCTCAAAGAGTTGGACACGACTGAGTGACTGAACTGAATCGATATTCTTGGGCATTACATTTTTTTTTTAAGAGTAAGTTCTCTATATAATTACAGAGTCATAATATAGTTATCTAGGTCAGCAGTGCTCAATAGAAATACAATGCAAGCCACATATGTAATTTTAAATTTCCCAGTAGTCACATTAAAAAAGTAAATAGCAACAGGTGAAATTAACTTCAATATATTACTTAATTCAATATATCCAAAATGTTACCATTTCAACATGTAATCAATATAAAAAATGATTAATGAAATACTTCACATTCTTTTTTTGTACAATCTTGGAAATCTCAATTTAGGCCAGCCACACTTCCAGGGCTCAATGACCTCGTGTGGTGAGCAACTATTGTACTAAGTAGTTCAGCTCTAACTGATCCGATTCTTCACACTCAGAATATCAAGGCCAGAGGGGAGGAGCCAGCCCGCTCACCTGGTGTAGTTCTCCTTGTACCCAGAGATGTCGTCGTTGGGAGAGCGCAGTCTTCGCTGAGATGGTGCCTCCAGATGCCAATAGTTGATGCGGTTCAGGAACATTTTTGCCAGTTCAACGATCGTTTGCCTTTCTTTGGGTGGCAGGTGACTGAATTTGTACTGTACAAAGTTATTCACACCCTTAAAAGGAGGGAAGGCAATTTATTCATGCAGCTCTGCAATCCTGAATGCCCACCCAGGCAGCACCAGTGGTGGTTATTAGCAAAAGAACAGACAGTTCTCTAGTCACAAAAACCTCTTTTTTCCCTATTAGAAAACAGGAATATGCCCAGAGGGAATCATGCCTCAGATCACAGCCTATGAAAAGTGACAAGACACAGAAACTGGGAGCTGCAATTCTCTGCCTGCTGCAATCATGAAGCGACGAAGAAAAAACCAAAACAGTGGACTGAAAAGGTCAAAACCCCCCAAACAATAAAATATGGCTATTTCGCAGAATAACTCTTGCTGTACAATCAAAACAGGAGCTCACATATAATGAGATTCTTGGATAAATATGTTTTTACATTCACAAAATTTTAATCAAAACTCTGCTAGCAAGGCCTTGCAATGAATTAAACCACAAGAATTTAAACTCTTTACTGTCATTCTTTCAGTTTTTAGTAAACTTACCCCAAAAAAAAAATTCTTACTCAAAATTATGAGCTTTTGAAAAAAAATCTATGGATTAATTAAATCTGTCTTCAGAACACTCTCATCTAATTTAACTTCAAATAAAGTAACAATGAAATTTTATTTTGTAGAGTTTGAAGACATTTCTTCTACTAAAAACTGACTGATAAAATACACTTATTTGTATCTCATATCATGCCTCTGTAACTACTCTCATCAGGAAACTCAGTCCAGAGTGTCTGACATTTACTTATGAAAATAATGAGAGGCTAAAAAATTGATACTGATGACAGATCATGACAACACCTAACAGGAAAGGTCTGTACATATTAACAGATGCCCCAAGTGGATCTTGGCTTCTCTGCAGAATCATAATGTGGCAGGAAGCCAACTTCTGGATACAAAAATCTCATTTCTTTTCTGTGCTTTTTGCTTGACTTACAATGTTTTTCACATTGCTCCTGAATTCCCTCACCTCAATAAACTTTTCAACAGTGCCAAACACGGGGACAAAGACTTAATTTTAAAACATCAACACCAAGAAAAAGCCCATTTCATGTGTTCTGATGAACTACATGTTCTACTTAATTTTTTTTTCTTTTCCAAACACACAGTGAATTCTGAGCATTCAGCAACCTAAGAGACAAAAGCTAAATCATTTACTACATGGAGTATTCACTTCTGATCCAAAGGGCTTGAGACTATTCCTACAGACTTGAACATCTCTAAGCCAGCTATGAACATGAAGATGAGGTTTGTTCAGCCTTAAAGCAATTTAAAAAAACGGGGCTTCTCATATTTTTTTTTTTACCTGTTCAATACTAGGTTTTTCAAAAGGGGGCTTCTTCTCCAAAGAGCCTTCAACCACAGGTTTTCCTCTTTGTAAAATAGACTTCCTCAAGAGCTGTAAGAGATCATTTTTAAAAAATCAGTGTCTCTCTCTCTCTCTCTCTCTCTCACACACACACACACACACACACACACACACTGGCGTCTCCAAGCTTACAATCTTGTTAGGGGCAAAAAGGCCACATAACAGAGCTGGACCGGGTCACACCATGCCGTCTCCCAAATACAAAAGGAAGAAAACAAACAAAAAATTCAAGTTGGCAGCAGAAACATTCCAAATAAGTTGCAAGTGCTGTCTAAGCTCAGAGATGAGAGCTCAGAAATCTGGTACTGAGGGAAGACGTCACAGCAGAGAAAGGGTGCTCTGAGTGTGGAAGGGAGGAAGGTGTGGGACATGACCAGGAGGAAAGGCGTCTGAGGAAGGTGAGGGGTGATGCCAGCCTCGAGGAGCTCGGGGGTCCATGAGGCTGCCCCAGCAGGTGGTCAGAGGACCCCTGAGACCTTGGAGCTGTTTTCTCCATAAGGCGTTTAATCAACCAAGATGTGAATCAAAAGTAAAACATAAGAGTACCAAATTTAGTCTTCATTTTAAAATCTTCCTCTGAGACATGTAAGCTGAGGCTTTTCTCTAAAACACTCCATGCCTCACACAGAGAGCCTTTGGAAGGGAAGTCACCATATTCCATTTATCTTAATTACACGTGCTGTTGTCTCCAAGTCACGTCTGACTCTTCGCAACCCCACAGACAGCAGCACACCAGGCTTCCCCGTCCTCTGCCATCTCCCAGAATTTGCTCAAATTCATGTCCACTGAGTCAGTGATGCCATCCAGTTACCGGTCAGTGAAGCCTCACATCAACAGATGGGAGACCACCAGCGAGCCCCCCTGCCCCCCGAACCTCTCCTGCTCACCCGCCCCCCACCGCCCCGCTCCTGGCTTCCGCTGACCCCGAGGCCTGGAGCGCCCTCTGCACACGCCCCCAGGCCAGGCAGGGGTGCTCACGCCCTGGGGGGCCTGCTCTAAACCCCGAAAAGGCCGTGGCCCTCTCCGCACGCAGGAGCCACGTGTCACAGGCACGGTCACAGGCACGGTCCTGGCCTTGAGGGGCCGCCGCACATGGTCGCGGGCTTGTCCCCACTCCCTCTCCACGCACAGAGTGCAAAGTGCAGAGCAAGGGTCCTGGCATCGCCGAGCCCACAGAACAAAACGCCGCTCTGAATCCTGCCACTGGAATTCCAGATCCTCAAAGAGCAAACACCAGAGGGAGAAAAGAACACAGAGCCAGTCACCAAGCCCCAACTTGAAAACACATTTGATACTGAACTTCTTTACCTTCAACCTTTGCGTGAACCTTCCATAACCCTTCACACAGGCCAGTTATGACATATATGCAGTCATTCGTTCATTCACTCACCCACGTATTCTTTACTTATTACACATTTATTTACATCTTTCCTCCTTTCTCCATTGATTGCTTTTTCAACAGAAACAAAACATGGCAAACTTTCCCCCAGGAGTTAGTGGAAACAGATGACACCCCCCGCCCCCCGCCAAGGTGGAAGATCACCCTGTGTCATCCCCCCGGGGCTGGGTCTGACAAAGACCTCAGTTCTTCTGGAGGTGCCATATCAATTACTCACACTGAGCCCTTGCTGATCCTTTCAGGGTATCATGCCCACCTTCACAAAAATAAAGGGGCCATAATGATAAGTCGTTACATGTTCCTAAGGATATGCAAAGACTGATCATCACATTTAGATACAAATAATTCGGGCTGCCCATTTTTTTGCCCATTTTGCCCAATGGATCATTTGGAAACTTGATCCATTGGGGGTTTCAATTTGGAGGAAGATGGATAAATAGGGGAGATGCTGACTCTTAGCTTCCTTGTCTAAACCAGGATGGAGCTGGGATAAACAGGCAAATGTTCAACATAAAAATGTTAACAGCAGTAGTGGCATTTGCCCCTTACTTGCCAAGTACTCTCTGTAGTTCTATCTGTACTATCTCATGAATCCTCCTCACAGCCTTTTGAGGGAAGTGCTAGCATATCATGGTCTACACTTTTAATTTTTTTTTTAACACCAAAAACATTTTGTCCTGGGGTACAGCTGATTAACAATGTTGTGGTAGTTTCAGGCGAACAGCAAGGGACTCAGCCACAGACGCATCACAATCTACACTTGACAGATAAGGAAGCGGAGCTGCACACCCTGGCTGAGGTCACGAAGGGATGAAGCCAGGCCTGGGAGCAGCCAGCTGTGCTCCGGCACCAGGCCGACGGGCTCCAGGGTGAAGCCAGCTTCAGCAAGGAGCTTTCCACCACGTTCATCTTCAACATCTAAGGCAAAAGTTTCCAAAATGCACTAAAATGTGCAAGTGCGTGTTGATCACTTTTAGAGACACAGGAGACACAGAACTGGTTTTCCAAAGCGAAGAAATGGATGATTCATGACACACTTGTCCGAAGAATGACTCTGGGGGAGGGGAGGGGAGAATGCTGAGTATTTTGGATCTTGTTCTCAGGAGCAAACATATGTGCACTGTTAAAGATGAGAGAGGGAAGAAAGGCAGAGTGAAGTTTTCTGGCCTCTTAGGTGGTTCTGAACAGAACTGAGCGGAGGTCAGCAGGATGGAAGCCTTTCCTTCCAGCAGGGCGCTGGGGAACCACCGCCAGGGATCTGGGTTCCAAGACAAATAACAGTTGCAGCCATGCAGACGTTGTTTTTCTCCAACTAAGAGCTTTTTCCAAAGACGCTCTAAACAGCACGAAGCTGGTGGGGTTCAGTCCAGACGACTCAGCCCACGGTCAGGTCAACAAGCCGTCACCTGGAGGAGCCAGGCGCTTGCTAACAGCTGTGCTCTCACCCCTCCCCCATTACTTATCTTCTTGGTGTTAAAATCCCCACAAGATTCCAATGTTTAAAAATATAACCGTCTTTCCCACTCTTGCCCCTATCAACCCCCAATATCCCCAGCACTACATTCAAAGACAGAAGCTAACAGAAGAAAAGGAACAATGACGTATTGTCACCTCAACCCAAAGCGACAGGACTGGGTCGGAAACTTGCCCTGAGTTTCCTGGCAGCCAGAGCAAAAGAGGAAACTCCTGGTCACAGAAAATGGAGCCCAGACTCCTCCTGGCTGTCAGCTCCGGTGAAGGGTCGGGGTTTGTTTTTAGGTCCTTATAAGGGCTACACAGTACAGCGCAGTCTACAGGGCCCCAAATCGTCGGTTTGGGGGTTTTTTAAATTTATTCCTTCTGTCAGCCACCTTTGCAAAACTTATTTTTTTGGTGGCCTGAATTTCTTCTATCCGGTCCCCCCAACTCCACCATTCCCCTCCCCCTGTCAGTGCAAACCAACCCACATCTACGGAAAGGAAGGGCCTGGACCCTCTGGAGCTGAGGCCGCGCCCCAGGAGGCAGAGGTAGGGGTGGCGGGGCTGGTGTCAGCAAGGCTGCGAGCGGGGAGCCGGGAGCGGGGAGCCGGGAGCGGGGAGGCGCACACCGACCGGAGCCCTCGCTCCTGCGCTTGAGGCGCCGAGTCCAGCCACCACCCAGCCAGGCCCCCCGCCTCCCCCGCCGCCGGGGCCCCGCGCTGGGCTGGGGGCTTCAGGCCCCCCGTGGGGTCTGACGCTGTGCGACCGCGCACCGCCCAGAAGGCGCCTCCGCAGCCTTTCGCAGGGGCGGCCCCTGGCCCCCGCTGGCATCTCTGCGCAGCCGTCAGCTCATCTTCCCTAACTGAGTTGGGAAGTTAGTGCCACGTGTCCCTGGCACCACGTCCCCGCCCGCGAGCGCCCTCCCAGGCGGACGGCACTCACTCTGCCGGCTCGGGGTGCACGCTCACCACCACCGGCACGCACTGCCGACCTGCTGACGGTCTCCGCCTCTCCTACTGAAACCTAAACTCCACGAAGGCAAGGACTTCGCTGCCCAGGGACCCAGGCTTCACGCCCACACGAGCGCCCACACAGAGCAGGCGTGCACTAAGTCCTCCTCAGATGGACAGACGGACAGTTGGACAGTTGGACACATACTTGGATGGACAAATGGACGGATGGAGGGATGAACAGAAGTGTGATGGGAAGAAATCCATAAGCACAAAGATACTCCACTCGGCCGACAGGTAGGAGGCGCTCAGGGAGAGGGATGTGCTCCAGGCATGGTGCCCCCAGCAGAGTTCCCCTGGAGAAACTTGCCTCTGCAGACCCAGGGCCAGCCTCCCGTGACCTGCTGCATCTGGACAAAGAGAGGGAAAAGGAAGCCTTTCTAAGCGTGGACGTCTCACCTTGAACAAGTAGAAATAAACCTGCTTGGTGTCAGCATCCTCTTCCCTGTGGACGCAGGTGAAGAGATACTCCACATCCAAGACGATCCCCAGCAGCCTGTTCATCTCCTCCTCCGACACATTCTCCAGGTGCGACACATGAGCAGCTGCAGACAGAAAGGAGGGCAGTGGGAGTCAGCACAGCTCACCTCTTCCTTACGGCCAGGCTTCTCCACCTGTGGAGTCCAGTCCCCAGCCAGGGGTCAAACCCATGCCCCCTGCATTGGAAGCATGGAGTCTTAGCCACCGGTCTGCCACAGAGATCCCAGTCTGGAACATTCTCTCCCAGGAACCTTCCAGAATACCAATATTTCAGATGAATTGTAAACAGAGGAATTTTTCTGAACTACAAGACTGAAATCTGCTTACAAAACTGACTTACGTTAAATTCTGCTTTGTCCCTATAGAAGCCAACTCCCATCAGGCCCAGAGGGCCCTGTGATCCTGGAGCCTGGATCCAGGATCTGAGGACTGTGGGTTCAGAAGGATCCAGAAAACAGACTCCCTAAGGGTTTACATCTAAGTCCTATGAACAGTTCTGGTGGCCAAGAACATCACATCGCAAGAAAGACCAAAAAAGTATCAGTAAAATCTGAATGAAGCCCTTTTCCTAAGCCCTGAGACGCACTGAAAGCTGTCTCTACAGCAAAAACCTAAGGCCAATTTGCGTTCAAGAGTCAGCATCCTCCAAGGTCACGCCCCAAACCGCCGTCCGTTCCTCTGCTCTGTGCGCTATCGTTAAGTGACCTATCCATATCCTCCCCTCTCCCGTGTCCCTGTCCACTCTTCTACCCAAATCCAGTCCACTTTTCGAGGTGAACACATTTTATCCTCAAAACATCTCATGAGGTAGGTCTGAGTAACCCCGTTCTATGGTTGAGAAAACTGAGGCTCAGAGACTGAACGCTGTTTCCTCCAGTGTCAGCCTGCGAGAAAAGACAAAGCTCTGACTCCAATCCTGAAGCACGCACACATGTGCTTTTTGGATGATTAGCTGACTCGCTTTAAGTCCTTCTCACTCTTAAGGGTCTCTCAAGGCCTCTCGAGGTCGCAAGGGTCTCTGGAGGTGACTCGTCCGAGAACCCACCAAGAGCACCTCCGGGACGCGGCCCAGCTCTCAGAGTGTCTCCAGGAATCGTCACTACACTTGCTGACAGACAGCGGCCCTGCAAGAGCAATCCTGAGGCAGAGCTGTTGGTGTGCTGGCCGAAAATCCTTGGACCTAGAGTGCTTGAGATGACTTCTAAAGAAGAGCAGAGGTAGGCCTTTGTCGCCTTTTTCAAGGGCGCGCTAAGTTGCTGCAGTCACGTCCGACTCTTTGCGACCCTACGGACTGTAGCCCGCCAAGCTCCTCAGTCCATGAGATTCTCCAGGCAAGAATATGGAGTGCATTGCCCTGCCCTCCTCCAAGGGATCTTCCCAACCCAAGGGATCAAACGTGCACCCCAAGTCTCCTGCATTGACAGGAGGTTCTTCACCACTAGCACCACCTCCTGCACATCATGAAGAGCAGGCTAGATGGAAATTTAAATGCTTAAGACAGGAGACCTGAGGAGATCTATCTACCTCTGACTCTGCACAGCAGGGAATCCATAATCTCTCCTTCAAGCTCTGTGTGACCCAGGATACAGAGAACCAGAGCTGGTGATGCAGGAACACGAAACAAAACAGCAGGTTCCCAGAGGGAGGAAGGCAAGGCTCTGCTGGACAAGGGGGGCGACCTTACAGCTGAAGATGGTCGGGATCCTCCTCCGAAAAGAAGGGAAGGGCGGGCCAGGGATGGGGAGCTACACGGAAGCAGAAAGACGACGCTGCATGAAAAGGGTTAAACTTCTAGAATGAATAATGGGTTGAGGTGGAGGGGGGGAGATCAGATGAAAACAGGGGGAGGAGACCACCCGCCAAAGAAGATAAGCAGCTCTGGACAAGCCGCCAAAAAAGAGAAGCTTCCCTATGGTGAGAAAGGGGACAGCCTACCACAAGGCATCAGTACTTAGTAGCCCAGAGGGTTAATTTTGACTCCAGGCTAAGACCTGAACTCCTGTCTTTGCCAATTTTGTTGTTATAATCGTACATAATGGCCTGCCTCTGAGAACCCTGCCCCCTCTGCCTGACTCTTAAAGAGCTCCAGTTTAGCTCACAGGGAGATAACGTGAACCTGCCACCTATGAATGACCCTAAAGAAATTAATACATCCTCCTGCCTGAGGCTTGCAAGAATCAAATGGTCTCTTTACTTTGTTTCCTTACCCCCCATCTCTGATCCATAAGTTTATATGGATCCATATCCAAATGCATCAAAACCCATAAATGGCTATTTTGAGACACCAGTCTGCTCTCCTGTCGGCCACCTTCCCTAATAAAAGGAGTCTTTGCCTCGAGGCCTCATCTCGGGCTCACTGGCCGACTGTGCGACACGCAGAGCGCGCTCGGACCTGGCGACACTCTCGGACTCTCCAGCTATGGGTGCCTCTCACCAACGCTCCTTTGCAGTCTCTGAGCGCCCTACACTCGGCCTTCTCTCTCACCAGATCCACATCAGCAGCTAAACCCACGCCAACCCAATCATCCCCGCACCCCTCATCACCTCCCCACCCCAACAAGCCGGGCACCACCGTCCCCGCACACTTGACCTCGGAATTACAGCCCTTGAGGTCATCCTCAGAATGGTGGCCCCCTCCAGCCAAAGAGCCCAGCATTTACTGCCTCACTGCCCTTCCCTGGCACAGTGCCTGCACCAGACACAGCTGGGCACCCCCCACACTCTTCCCCACTCCCACCTCTGATCACGGGGACCTCAAGCCTTTCCCCAGACTGCGCTGTCGCCACGGGAGGGAGGGAGGCTCTCCCCATCAGACCCACGTCTACTGAGTCCAGAGACGGCTCCTTAGGGCTGATGAGCAGAATTAGTGGTGAAGAACTCACCCACCAGTGCCGGAGACATTACGTAGCACGGCCCCTGGGTCGGGAGGAGCCCCGGGAGGAGGGCATGGCCACCCACTCCAGTGCTCTTGCCTGGACGATCCCGTGGACAGAGGAGCCTGGCGGGCCACAGTCCATGGGGGCGCAAAGAGTCGGACCCAACTGAGCGACTGAGCACGCAAGCATGCACAAGCGAAGTGAACAAATTCACCAATGAGGCCAGTCAACCCCACGTCATGCAAAACCCAGACACACTTCACTCTACCTGAAATCCTAAACTACTTACTGAACTCGCATTTAACCAAAGACTCACTACTGAAGAAAAAAACCTCAATCTTCTCCAAAGAAACCTTTTGATGCAAATAAGGTTTGCACTTCAATTGATGCACTTCAATGAGCCCAAAGTATATTTTCTTGAAGAGATATGCCTGTATACTACAACGCACAAATCTACAACAGTTAATTCAGCCACAGAACTCATAATACACAGTCAACACTATCTAAAGCGTTGATATACGTTCCCTAATTTATCCTCCCAGTAAAGCCCGCACCGGTCGACCACATCAGCGCTGAGACAGACCCCTTCCCCCACACTGGCCAACAGTGGAGAATCTGCTCATTCAGTCAATCTTCTGAAAATCAATCAAAGTCCCCCACTGTTTTGATCTGCATTCACTGGGATGCCCCTGGAATTGTTTTCCATTTACTGGCCATTTGTATTTATTCTTTTGTGTACTAACTAGTCAGGCCCTCTGCCTGCTTTTCTAGGACGTGGGTCTTTTTCTGTCTGTCCTCCCAGATTTGTTGGGGTTGGTTTGTTGGCTTGTGGTTTGATTAAGGAATTTTACATTTTTCAGAAAGCCGAATATATGTCTAGCATTTCTTCAAGGCTGCTTGCAAAGGTCTTTCCCATAGAACCAAAAGATGACAAAAATGTATTTTCTCCCAGCTTTTAACAGGTTTAGTCTTAAAATTGAAAACATTCCTCCACCAAAACATCAACATCATAAAAGACAAAAAGAGGGAGGGTGGTGGGGAGGAGGGCTGGTCCACATCAGAGCAGACTGAAGAGGCACGCAGTGACACTGTGATTTATAATAAAAAACACACATTTGGTCTTTGTCCCCTTTCTCAGCAAAGTGCCCCTAAAACTCCTGGAATTGCACAAGTGATGGTAACAATAAAGGTGAAAGGAGTGTCTGTTGTTGTTCATAAAGACCGTTCCAGCCGCACCTGCATTTCATGAATGGACTTCTGCAAAGCCCCAGGGATGGGGACAGCGGGCAGGGGAGGCACACAGAGAGAAGAGGGTTGGAACCCCCACCTCGGGAGGGAAGAGGGTCTGGAGGCTGAGCTAATCACCACCGGCCAATGATCTGACCACGGTGCCTAAGAGGCCCCCCTCAAACCCTGCACCGAGAGGCTCTGCGAGGGGAAGCCGAGAGGTGCCGGGAGGCAGCTCTCTGGAGGAGGCAGAGACGCTCCGTGCTCCCCACCCTGCTCCAGGGCTCTCCTCCACCAGCTGTTCCTGACTTGTATCCTCTTATAAAGAACCGGAAATCCAGTGGCTGCTTTCCTGAGTTCTGTGAGCCACTCTGCAAAGTTATCAAGCCCAGAAGCAGGAACCTGTGGCCAGTGGGAAACACGGCTGATGACCTGAACTTGGGATTGCCGTCTCAAGGGGTTGCAGACCCCTGACCTTGTGGGGTCTGCACTAATCACAGGCAGGTAGCACTGGAATTAAGTCGCCGGACACCCAGTCGGGGTCTGCTGGGGAGCTGAGTAGAAAAGCCCGTGCATCTGCTGTCAGAAGCTTCTGGAAATGCTGAGGAGAGGAGATTCACTGTCTGACTTTCACGTGACAACTAAATACCAATGTGATCCTAGCCTGCTGGGTGCTTAATGGAGAGGAAAAAATGCTCTAAAAGACATATTTGGGTCAACTCTAAAATTGGAACACAAGCAAGCACTAGGTTAAGTATTACATTAATGCTAATATTTACTGAAGTTGGTAAGGTAACTAACCTGAGGTTATGTGAAAGAATATATGGGAATCCCTTGGCAGGCGTGAGGTTAGCGGTCTACTTTCACTGCCCAGAGCCTGGGTTCACGGCAGGCAATGAGGATCCTGCAAACAGTGCAGCACAGCCAAAAAAAGTAATAAAAAAAAAATTTTATAAAAAAAG